ATATGTACAAAGAATTCAACACTCTACGCCACATTTACCTGCTCAGACTTGCTCACTGCATGCTTCATTCACAATAATCAAGCAACAGAAATACTCTAAATTTCTCTTAACTGTTTAACAGATAATGAAAATTGACTATCAGATCCCAAATGGTCAGTGGAATTCTGTTTGCTTGTATGAAAAAAATAAAATTATGGAATTTGAGGGAAAATGCATGCAAACAACAGGAAAATAATATATTCAGTAAGGTAGCCCAGATCCAGAAAGACGATCACTGGATTTTATCTCTTATTTGTGGATCCTAGCTCAGAATATTGAGATGAGTTTATAATCTGGAATAACCATAGAAACTATGGAAGTAAAAGGGAACATGGGGTGGGAGAAAAGGGAGTTCTAGAAAGAGGAATAGTAATACACATTTGCTATGAATGGGGAGATGGGATAAACAGGTACATGTGATTCGAGTTGCAAGGGGTTAGAGAGGGCAATAGAGAGGATAGGATGGAAGAAAGGTAAAGTAACACTAATGATGTATATAAAGCAAAAATATCATTTGATGTTTACTTTAAAATACATATGTATTATGTATAATACATATATATGCATGATGAATAAAATTACACCACTTTGGGAGATACTACTTGGGGTAATAATCTCCCCCAAGAAACAAAGACTATTTAACAAAAGTTCTGCACCAGACAGAAGAAACCTCCCTTCTAAGTACAGGTCAAAAGAGTCCAAGAGACTTCTAAAATAATACAGGATATTGTCATTGCCCTTGGTTCCCTTCCAGAACTTGAAGACAAGACCCTAATGCTAAAGACAACACACATTTCAGACACAAGGAATGGAGAATTTGAGCTAAAACTGACCTGGAAGACTCTTTTGTGAGATCTTGCCCTCACAGTCCTGTAGGATACTTTGCAAGCTACTGAAGAAAAACAGCAGTCAATAATCCTACCTGAATTTAAAACCTACAAACCACAAACTTGACTAGCAGGACAAGATGCCCCCAAGGGTGCAAAATGGACAATTATATCTTTGGGGTGGCCAATAGCTTCCAAATTGGACTTAAGGCCTGTTCAGTAGGAGGGAATTTATGCCTCATACTGTAAATCTAGCCAAGGACCCATGGCTGGAGAGGTCACAGACCCTACAGGAGAAACTAATGCACATTTCTAAAGCAGTATAAATTCTAACTTCATTATAAATACTATACCAACAGATAAGTGTAACTTTCAGTTCTCATCAAAGAAACTTCTCATTGCAGTCCATTACAGAAATCCCAAGTGCTCAAAATACAGAGAACAGCTACCTATGTGGTACCCAGTACTAACGGGTATATCAACAACACAACCTCTAAACCTACAGTTCAGAGACCACTATCAAATAGATAGCAAAATAGACAGCAAGAACCTAAGGACCAGAACAATCTGTTGTGAGACAGTGTCTTCTATATATGACAGGAAGGTTGAACCCATGAAATTTCAAAAATATCCTTGCCTAAACAAGTCCTGCACTCTGATACCACCAGTTGACATGATAACATGGTCAGCAGAAATGTCACTAGGTCCAACTCATAGACGAAGAGCTATAGGTAATTAATGGCTGCTGGAAGAGGGAGAATTACATTCAGGGACAAGCCTGTAGACAGGTTATCAGATCCTAAATGGTCAGTCCTAAACAGGTAAACATAATTACTACTAAATATTCTAAGTAGGCAATGTTGATATATACATACCTGTGTGTTTTGTATGTATGTAACAATAGTAATTAAAAACAAGTGGCCAAGCCGGGTGTTGGTGACGCACGCCTTTAATCCCAGCACTAAGGGGGCATAGGCAGGTGGATCTCTGTGAGTTCAAGACCAGCCTGGTCTACAAGAGCTAGTTCCAGGACAGCCTCCAAAGCCACAGAGAAACCCTGTCTTAAAAAAAAAACAAGTGGCCAGGAATATGAAAGTATCAGAGGAGTGACTCTAGAGGAACTAAAGATGTGAGACAGAGGGTAAGAAATTATGTAAACACTATACATGTATATGAAACACTAGTTTCAAAACACTAAAAAATTAAAGTATTGTGGGGATTTAATGTATACAAGGCCTCAGTGTTCTGGTATACTTCACACCCAATTGTGAGCTTTCAATATGTTTCATACTCATTGTGGTGATTTGAATATATGTGGTCCCCGCAGTCTCATGTGTTTGAATGCCTGGCCCATAGAGAGTAGAACTATTTGAAGGTGAGGCCTTGTTGGAGGAAGTGAGTCACAGTGGGGACAGCCTTTGAGGTTTCAAATCTTTAAGCAAAGCCAAGCATGGCATATAGTCAATTTCTGCTGCCTGAGAATCAAGATGTAGAACTCTTAATTCCTTCTCCAGCACCATGCTTCTTACCGACAATAACAGACTAAACCTCTGAAACTATAAGTCAGCCCCAATTAAATGTTATCCTTTATAAGAGTAGTCATGTGTCTTCACAGCAATAGAAATCCAAACTAAGACACACAATGTGGAACTTCTACCTGAGGATTTGGCCTTGATTAGCAGAACTATTTATCTATAATCAATTCTTCACTCTACAAAGCATCTAGATTAGAAATCAAGTATAAGAAAATTTTTTCCCATTGGCATTAGGATTCCTGAAAAATCAAACCTTCAAATGAACTTTTACACTTATGAAGACACAGAAAAACATAAAGCTCTATTTTATTATAATGACATTTCTATACAATGTAATGATTTCTCTCAGCACAAAATCAGCAGTCCCAACAGTATGCCATGGACTAAACAGATCAAAGTAAGAATTCTATGAGCAAATTTTAAGATGCAAGGATAAATATCAATTGAAAATACAATGATAATGATTTGGAGATAAGATTTGAGGCAATCTCTATGACCAGGTACAACTGAGTCCCTGTGTATGCTCCTTCTGCCCTTGCAGTGGGAAGCTCCTGTCAGTAGGAAGATGAACCTTTGATTCAATAACTCTTTTAATAATTAAAGTCCATGCCTGCATATTAGTCACTGGGTCATTCTTAGAAACTACGATAATAATAAATTAATCATAGTTTCATATATTGTTCAATTTTTGATATATGATGAAATTATTTAAATACTTTTAAAGCATTTTTCTTTTAATTCTACAATGACCCCTATTCAAATATCACATCTCCTGGAATGCCATATATATCTATCCAGAGAGGACAAAGAGAGAACTTTCCTGCCTTTCTTTTTAGAGTCATTCATTTCCTTCATGGATTATGATGTCTTACTAAGTTCTTTAATTTAATAGCTGTGGCACAAACATGATGTTTTGGGGGGTCATATCAGTTCCAGGAGAGGTATCAGAAAAATAATTTTCAGTCAGTAAAGATTGAATGGGCCCACAGTAGAATAATCAAAATTCTACTTGATAAGCAAGAATCATTTTCATTAATAAAGAGGATAAGATACGCTGGAAGCACACTTTTGGGTTTTTCTTTTAATTTTTATTTTGATAGTGGGGCACATGTGGCTGAAACCAGTTTTCAAAACTGATAGTACACTGTATCACAAACTCAAAATCATGCAATGTCTCATTTCATTCATGGGGAAAAATCTTTACAATTGTCAAAAAGTTGCTAGACTGTGCTGTTGTAGCTGTGACTTATCCAACATATTCCACAATCTTACATGTTTCACTTAAGACACACATGCTTTTTGGAATCGACCATTTGGATGATGCTACATCAGCTATTCCATAAAAAGAGAATAAGGCTGTCTTCCTACCCTATTCGTCTTTAACTATTGTTTTTTTTTTTTTCTAATCCCATCTTGTTAAAAGAATCTGCCTTCCTTTCTCTCATCCTCTTTCTCTCCCAGCCTTCTGTTGGTATTTGAAATTAAGTCCTCACACATGTAACACATCACTCTTCCACTGAGCTATATCCCCAACCTGAGAACTATCCTGAGAGGATATCTTTATAGCACTATATCAACCAACCTTTATAGTTTCAATAAAGAATGCTACTTATTGCCTTGATAGTAGGTTTTGATGCAATATATTCTTTGATGTCTTTTGCCAACAGTATTGATTTAACTATTAAACTTATAAAGTATTTTTTTAGTTTTTTGAGACAAGGTTTCTCTGTATTGCTTTGGAGGCTGTCCTGGAACTTGCTCTGTAGACCAGGCTGGCCTTGAACTCACAGAGATCCACCTGCCTCTGCCTCTCAAGTGCTGGGAATAAATCTGTGCTCCACCAATGCCCAGCTCTATAAAGTATTTTGTAAGAGCTCATTTTATTAACTTTATTTTCAGGAAAAATCATCAATAAATAGGTTTTGGTTGAATGTGTGACAGATTCTTTCATCAAAACATAACATTCAATGAACTTAAACGAAACTGTGGAAATAATTTACATTTGGGCACACAAATAATACACTGATAAAAACAAGGAAATTATATTCCTGTCCGTGTGTGTGTGTGTGTGTGTGTGTGTGTGTGTGTGTGTGTGTGAAAATATGCAAAAATACAGTAGGAAAAATAAAATAGATTATCTTTTCTTAAACTTTGGGAGCATAGCTGATCAAAATAAAAGTCTGTGTGTAACAAAATCTCTGTACCATGCCACTGTTGTCGTTCAAGCTTTCTTCTGGGCTCTGCTGTACTACAGTCCACAAGGCCAAATCACCAAAACTATCATCAATAAAAGAATCTGGTTCTAACTGCACACTTCATGCTCCACTACTTGTAAAGCTTTTACTTGCATCACCCATCTATTTACATATGAGAAAATTAGTCTCAAAAATCAAGTTAAGTAAGTTATAACACAATAAATGTAAACAGTTCACTATTTGGCTATTTTTCATGAAAGCAAATTTATATTTGGAACATTAAAAATTTTAGGTCCAAATCATCATAGTAGATGTCATTCCTTTTACCACCTTACAAAAGTATAGAATATAAAGCTAGTTTCCTTCGATGTCAAATACAAAACACCCACATTTAAATATCTTACCAGTTATTTTTGTCATCACAAAAGAGAAGATTGGCAAAAAATGAAACAGGTTTAGATGAATTGAAACTAAGATGACATGGTAGCTCATCATTAATTCCAGTATCAGAGCCTATGATAGCTCTTCCTTTAGGAAATGTCACAGTAAGTGGTTGAATCTCATCATCATCAAGAAGTTTTGCAGTAGGAATCTTGAACTGTAGATTTGAATTTCTGTTTAACATAAAAAATTACAATATATTTTGCTCAAAATATCAGTAATTAACTTGAATTGAATGTGTATTTAATTTTTCAAAAAGCAAATGTATGCAATAGTATGTTTAATACTTAAACATAAATTTGTATCATCTCTTCTTGTCTGTCCCCTTTGTCTGTAAGAATTAAGAGAGGTAAAATATCTGACAAAAGGAAATGTTTTTATTTATAACCATTATATAAGATTATTTCACTCAAACACATCCTAACAAAGATTTATCCAAAATGATCAAATAACATTTAAAAAGTTAATGTTTATACATTAAATAATATTGATAGATTATATATATGAAGAACTTCAAAATTTTGGATACTAATAACCACCTGCAGATAATGTCACAAATTGTAATATTTACATTATTTAACATTTAGAATGTACAATGTTTATTTCATATAAAATTCATTTAATCCATCATAAATGAATATAGTATCATTTTAAAATTAATTTCATACTTATAATACTCTTGTCAATAAATTTTGAAACATTAGCTCTTTTTATTTTATTATTAAGTGAAAAACATCAAAAAAGTATTATTAAATGGGAATCATAGTCTCTTATTTTAATAAGCGTGAACATCATTCAGGTAATAAAACAGGAAAGATGATTCCCATCTGAATTAATTATATCTATATGGTACACTAGATAAAATATAAGAAATTAAATCATATATCCAGTAGAAAGCAATTTAGTTCTAATTTACTGAATGTGTCATTTATGCTGCTGATTTCACTGTATGTATATAGCAAGGAAACTGTCATTATCTCTTCAACTCTTTTCACAGAGTCATCATGTCATAATTTGAATTCAAGTAGTTTTTATGATGATATCATCATACATTAATTAGAGTTGTAATGTTAAAAGATTAATTCTTATATTAAGACAATTCCCTAAGCCGGGCATTGGTGGTGCATGCCTTTAGTCCCAGCACTCGGGAGGCAGAGGCAGGTGGAGCACTGTGAGTTTGAGACCAGCCTGGTCTACAAGAGCTAGTTCCAGGACAGACTCCAAAGCCAAAAAAAAACCCTGTCTCAAAAAAACCAAAAAAAAAAAAAAAAAAAAAAAAAAGACAATTCCCTAATAGGAATACTTTGTAGCAAAATAAATTCCAATTTACATTATCTGAAAATTAATAGAAGTTAATGTCTACTTATAAAATTTAACCTTGACAAAACTGCAGATTGCAAGAATATGTTAAATCTTCAAGTACTAAGGTCTTCTCAAGCTGAATAACACTTAGCACAAGCCCTGTGGCATCATCCATGATAAATTCCACATCAAACACAGTAAGTAAATATGGCATTGCCTTTCTCAATTTGGATATTTCACCAACAGTGTTGGTGTATTTTTTTTTGGTAGGATAATCCATGTATACAGGCTTCCTAGACTTAACTCAATATTTTGATTCTGATATTCCAAATACCACTGTCTTGCTAGCTGAAGTTCATTTATAATCATAATACTCATATCCAAATAAACAGCAAGTTATTTATCCCTTCACCTGTCACAAGAAGCTTGTATCGTTCCCTGATTTTGCTATACTAAATAAAACCATTATAGTACCTATTTTAATAACTCTCTTTCAGTGACTGACACAAGGAGATGAAAACATGATAAAGAGCTCTCATTTACTTTGGGTGGACATTTTAAATGATACAAACATTGTGGAAAGCATTGGGGGTACATGTCTATGACTCACCTACCTCACTCCTAGTGAAAATTTGTACATATTACCATATAATGTATATAAAGAAGGATAGTGATAGCATCATTGCACATTATAGTCAATACAAGGAATATGATGGATAAAAATAATAGCTACCTTTTACTTAAGTACTCTGAATCCTGAGTAGGCTGATCTCTGAGTTCAGTACCAGCCAGGGCTACACATTGAGATTCAGGCCAACAGAGAATCCTCACCATGTGACTCTTCCTAGCTTAGAGCTTACTAGGGAGAAAAGGTTAGAGTTGAACTCCCAGAGACCTGCCTGCCTCTACCTCTCCAATGCCTAGTACTGATATTGAAGGCATGCCACCCACACACCTACTTCTACCCATCTGTTATTGAAGAAAGAGTCCCTGTACAATTTTGACTGAATGTTCAAAGTCTGTGGCTTAATTTTACTTCTGCTATAATTCAGATAGAGAACATTAATACCTTGTATGGCTATAGAGTGGGATTCTTGGGCTGTGAGATATGCAAATACAGCTTTACACATCATCGTCTAGTATGTAATAATACTGACTGACACAATGACTAGTTTACCTGAGTTAAGTTTTAAAAATACTTTTATTGTAGCCTTTGGTGTCTTATCACTTATTTTAAAAGCTAATTATATATTTACTATATTGATATTCTATTTTTAATCTTTTCATGTACTGTAGTTATTTATTATTTTTGACATTTGTATTATGCTATCCAAATACATTTTCAAGACATCTCCCTATGCACTCTATACTGACTTCCACCTAAAGATCCTCCTTTATCAGTCTCCTAAATTCTGGGATTACATCCATATACTACCATGCTCTGCATTTATATTTCACTGAATTTTATCAAATGCATATTTGTTGTAATCACAGCCTAAATGAAGGTGAGTAATAATATTAATTGCAAATATAATAAAGTTTATGAAATAAAAATGCTCATAAGATATAAAAAATTATCAAATAGCTATAAGAGCTACAATCACTTGTAAGCTTATTAAATTCTAAATCATACTCACAATTAAAATATTTGTAAAATATATAAATCCTAAAGTAAATTAAAAGGAAAAATATGACTACCCTTTCCATACAGCAAACTATCACATACATATCTGGAGTATTTATGGGTCCAGAAAAAGATATTTTAAAAACACATATAATAAGCTAAATTATTTTAACATGTATAAAATTGTATAACTTACAATGAAAGAACATATATTTCTTTCTCCTCAACCACTGAGTAAATGAAAATTAGCAGTACATTGTCTTCTGCTTACAGTCAAAATCTCAAACCATTTTGAAGTGTTATGTACTGAAATTTTAAGCTTATTTCTTATTCCATGAAGACATTTTTTAAATGTCAAGAAAATAAATAACTACTATGGCTACTTTGTATTTTCTATAATGTCAGTGTATACTGAAATGCTTTAATGGCTCTTCAAAACTATAGCAAGAAGTCAGGCATAGGATATAATTTTCCCATAACATAGATGCAACCAAAATTGCATATAAAGAAGATGTAAAATATTCCTATTAAGGATTTACCTGAAATAGTTCTGTGGCAAAATTCTGATATCCACCCCAGCTGTGATATCCAAAGGAACAGGAGTAAAACATATAAATGGTGGATCAAAAAGTATCTTTGGTGATTGTATCTCTCCAATCAAACTTAATATTCTATAGTCAAATAAATTATCATTTAAACGTATAGCAACATCAGCTCGGTAGGTTATGGGCTCTCCTATTAAAAAAAGGTCCTATAGATTAGTTTACATTACAATGTGTATATATTGTAAGAATTACTATTAAAATGCACTATGATATTAAAGCTCATTGGGGCAGAATAGTTAACCCAAGAACAATGCAGCCAGATGAAGCTAGATTAAATGAAGTATTCTGAAAAAACAAAACAAACCTAAAAGGTAACATGGCTTCAAGTATGCCTTCTCTAGAGATGCAACAAATCTTTTTAATGTTTAAAGTAGGGGAGGGGATAATCACATACTGGGGAGGAAACATTTACTACATGGGAGAAATAAATAATACACGGAAGTAGTACGACAGGACTTTCTTTGTTCAGCTGTTTACAATGCTTTTAATGACAGCTGCTAATACATTTTGATATACAGAACATGAAGATGGCATCTCAAACTGCTGGAAAGATATTAAGGGACTACTGAGAAAGGGGTTTGATGAGTGAAACTCTCCCAGCTTTGAAGATTAAAAAAGGCTGCCAGGGCACTGGAGAGATGGCTCAGCAGTTAGGACCCAGGTTCTACTCCCAGCCCCAACATGGAAGCTCACATCCATCTGTACATCCGGTTATAGATGCTTCCAGCATCAGCAGGCCCCAGGCATACACAAGGAATATTATATGCACATATATGAAGGCAAAACACTAACACATAAAATAAAAATTTAAAAAATTTTAAAACTAGAAGAATACTTACTTGGACAGAAATGTATGGAAATCGTATACTTTTCGTTTGGTTTCAGACTTCCAATCAGTGCAGTAAATTTGAATATGCCACTTTTGAAAAGTTTTTCAATTCTACCAATATCCAAAGACCACTGAACAGTTTTTTTTGAAATATTATATAAGACAAGATCCTGTTCATATATATACACAAAAAGAAGACATTTTTAGAATTTAATAAGTGTATTATAAAATTTAGTTGTTAAGGACATGATCAAAGTATTTGATGATGATGATATTAATATGCCAAAAAGCCAACCTGAAAGTGCTCATAAATAAATGTATTAATGATTTACAGGAAAAAATAAGAAAATTTGTTATTTCATACTCATAAAGCAAAATAAAGACAATATTCTTTCTTATAGGAAAAAAATCTAAATTTTATATGTGACTGTGCTCTTTAAATTCCCTAATACTTTGAAGTTAATCACATCACTGCCAAAGTACTGGAGAATAGTAGAGAAACCAGGTAGTTAACTATGAATCACTGTGATGCCACATATGATCTTCAAGTGATGGCAAATGTCACCACTGTAGCATTTCTCCACTAGACTGATAAAAAAGAAATGTAACTATACTCTAAATGCCGAAGAAGGCAATGCTAGGAGTTTTCCCTTAAAGTCTCAGAAAAAAATCATGGCTCCTATTAATACCTTAATCATAATGGAGTAATAACAGGTGATTCAGACACTCTGTCCCCTGGTCACATTTATCAAAACAATTGAAAGAAAAGTTCAATAATGTAAAACAATCTACCATTTCAGAAAAGCATTTTTAAATCTGAAATACATTGCAAGTTGCCAAAGTTATTTTTTTCTGTTCCACATACTAGATTTATATACATGAGGAGTTTATGAAAAGGAATTTTACTGTCTTTTTGTGGCCTGTGTCTAAAAATTCCAATATAATTTCAGAAGAGATATTTTATTTATCCACAACTCTTAATTTCACACATTCTATTTTTATCAATGCAATGTTAAACATTTTCCCCATATACTTTATCACCAATAATAAATATTTCAAAAAAGCTGATTGTAGGAGTAATAATACACTAGAGTAAAAGGCCAGAGAAATACAATTTCTTAAAAGATATATATTATGTTCTTTCATATGCATGTCTTTTTCTCTTCTTCACTATTATGATTGCTTTCTGTTACATTTTCACATATACATAAATATATATGTGTGTGTGTGTGTGTGTGTGTGTGTGTGTGTGTGTGCATATATATGGAAATATATTTGACACTAATTCAAATTATGGATGTATACAGTTAAAAGTTACTACATATGTGCTTGAGTTTAAAAAACCCTCTGGATAACAATGAGGAGGCTCAGTGGGTAAAGGCACTTGCAGCACAACCCTGGCAACCTAATTCAATCCCCAGAATTCAAAAGGGAAAAGAGAACCAACTCTACAAAGTTATCCTCTGATCTCTACACACACAGCATGAAATGCATGTCCACATAGATAACTCATGCACATATACTCAAAGAAATAAAATTTATTTATAAAGTTATTTTTAGGTGAGCACAGAAGATGGTTTAATGGGTAGAGTGCTTATATAGCCAGCAAGGCAATATGACTTGAAATGTCCAGAACCTAACAAATGGCCAGATGCCATCATGCTGATCTCTAATCCTGTGTTCCTACAATGAGATGAAAGGTAATGACAGAAAAATCCCCAAAAGCCCATGGGTCACTTTACTAAGATTTACCAGCTATAAGTACATATATTCAAACACATGGTAGTCACAAATATCATACATAAAAAATGTATTTCTGAAAATTGTAAGTAATATATATATTTATGTATGCCTAAAGTATATACTTATATGTAAATATATGTACTCTTCTTGATAAAATCCAGTTGTTGCTCCAAATATTCTGAATAGATGTGACAAATTACTAATATGCAAATAATCAATTCAGTAAGTGAAAAAAATTATAAAATGACTATGAATTATAAAGTATACTAATTATATACCTGAATTCTTGTGATCTCCTTATTATGTTGGATCTCATATAATGGGACTTTGAAGACAAATTCAGTGCTGGATAATTCCAATGGTGCTCTCAATACTTTAGAAGAAAAGTAAAGATATTTGTAAAATATTAACAAAAGAATGTGGACACTACTTAGTCAAGTTTTCAAAATGAAATAATAAAAAACAAATGTTTATATTTTATACTCCGAATGAAAAAGTAAAATTCCATTTCAAACATTTCTAAGATACCTTGATTTCCATACTTAGAAATTTTCATTTTGTAAAATTAATTGGAAATGAATTGCATGTAAAGCAAAGCCATAAACATGGAATTATAAAAATCATAAAATGAACTCAATATTGAAATACAAGACAAGCGTTTTTAATATGATATCTATACCAACCATGGAGAAAGAGAGAGGCAACCATAACAGAAGACAGAAAGATCCCCATGCTCACGGATCAGTAGGATTAACATAGTAAAAATGGCCATCTTACCAAAAGCAATCTACAGAGTCAGTGAAATCCCGATCAAAATTCCACCACAATTCTTTACAGACCTTGAAAGAACACTACTCAACCTCACATGGAAAAAAAGGAGGAACCATGATAAATAAAACAATCATTTACAACAAAAGAACTTCCAGATTTATCACTATCCCTGATTTAAAGCTCCACTACAAGGACAGAATAATAAAAATAGAATGGTATTGGCATAAAAACAGACAGGTTGATCAATGGAATCGAATAGAAAACTGAGAAGTAAATCCACACGCTTGGTTTTTGACAATGAAGAAAAAATTATATAATGGAAAAAAGAAATCACCTTCAACAAATGGATGCCAAAAAACATAGAAGAATTCACATTGATTATTGCTCTGCACAAAACTCAGGGCCAAATGGATCAAAGACATCAATATAAATCCAGTTACAATGACCATAACAGAAGAGAATGTGGGGAAAAGCCTTGAATATATTGGCAAAGGAGACAATTTCCTGAATAGAATATCAGTAGAACAGACACTGAGATCAACAATTAATAAATGAGATCTCATGAAACTGAAAAGTTTCTGTAAAGCAAAGGACACTGTTAATAAGAAAAAACTGGCAGCCTACAGAATGGGAGAAGATCTTCACCAACCCCACATGTGACAGAGGGCTCATCTCCAAAAGAGATAAAGAACTCAGGAAACTAGACACCAAAAAAAAAACCCCACAAATAATCCAATTAAAAATGGGGTACATACCTAAACAGAGAATTCTCAAAAGAAGAATCTCAAATGGCTAGGAAACAAATGTTCAACATCCCTAGCCATCAGGAAGCTGAGATTCCATCATACAGCAGTCAGAATGGCTAAGATCAAAAACATAATGACAGCTTATGCTGCAGAGAATATGGAGCAAGGGGAACACTTCATTACAAGTGGGAGTGCAAATATGCACAGCCACTTTGGAAGTCAATATGGCAGTTTCTCAGAAAAGTGGGAATCAAGCTACCTCAGGACCCAGCTATACCACTCTGTGGGGACATATACCCAAGATGCTCAATCATATCACAAAGACACTTGCTCAACTATGCTCATAACAGTATTATTCATAATAGGCAGAACCTGGAAAAAAGCTACATGTCCCTCAAATGAAGAATTGATAAAGAAAATGTGGTACACATACAAAATAGAGTATTACTCAAATTAAAAACAATGACATCAGGAAATGTAAAGACAAACAGATGGAACTAGACAAAAATCATCTTCAGTTAGGTTACCCAGACCCAGAGAGACAAACATAGTATGGACTGACTTACAATTGGATATTAGCTGTGAAGTAAAGGCTAAACATGCTATAATCCACAGCCCCAGAGAGTCTAGTTAAGGAAGGCTCAAAGGGACTGGGAAAGCATGGATTTCCTTAGGAAGGAGAAACAGAAGAGATCTCCTAGGTAAACTGAGGGCTGTGGGGATGGGAACATGGGTTGGGAGGGTGAATAGAGGTGGAGATTAGAGAAAGAGAAATAAGAAGGGGGGAATTTTGGACTCATGGAGAAACCTGGAACAAAGGGAAACTCCCACAAATCTACAAGGATGACCTCAGCTAAGTCTCCAAGTAATAGTGGATATGTAGCCTGGACTTGCCATCTCCTGTAATCAAATTGGTAACCACCCCAATTGTCATCATAGTGACTAATGGAAAAGGATACAGACAGATCTGTATCTGGGCTGAGCCTGGGGAATCCTGTTGAAGAGATGGAGGAAGATTGCATGAGCCAGTGGAGGGGGCGTCAAGAAACAACTAACCTGGGCTCATAGGAGCTTACAGACTTTGAACCAACAACTAGGGAGCCTGCATGGGACAGACCTAGGCCCTCTACAGTTGTGAAGCTGTATCTACTTGTAGGACTCCTAGTGGTGGAAACAGGGCCTGCCTCTAATGCTTTGGCTGGTTTCAAAGAACCTAATCCTCATAGTTGGCCAGTCTTAATGCAAGGGGAAAAGTTAAATCCTACCTCAATTTGATATGCCATTCTATGTTGACACCCTTTCTGAACAGAAAGAGAAGAGTGCATTGAGAGTGATAGGGCAGGGGGTTAAGGAATGGGGGGGGACTGTGGTGGGGATATAAAATAAATGAATAAAATTAATGAAAAAGTTTGTTTTTATTTTCTAATATTCAAAATTTTGAAAACTAAAAATGATACTTATTTTTCTTTACTTATAGATGTTAAGTGTAAATCTCCGACCTACACACATTAGTTGACTTTCATATTACATACCAGTAGCTTGAACAAAACAAGGTGGAATAAGTGGTGACACTCTTGGCATCAAAATCTGTTTCTGTGACAAATATTCGCAGTAGAGTTCTGAAGCCTTGAAGGAATTAATAAGGACAGGAAAGCTAAAGTTATATGTTGCTACCTGTCAAAAAAGACAAGAAATTATAATTTTGAGGACTTTGATACTGTTGATTCACCAACATGAATTTTTTCAAAATACAATTATCTTGAGGCATTGAAAATACATTTATTTAATAAAGTAAAGGATATACTATTTATTATGTCAAAAATAAGTCTCTAAAACAAGCGGGTATATTGCTTTTAAAATGCCTGCTTATTAAAAATGAACCAAATATCCAACTATGAAAGCCAAAATATTTGGAAAAATACAGAACGTCTTTGTAGTCCTTAGATAGGCAAGGATTTTTTAAATACTATACCAAATATATTATTCCTGAAAGAGAAAACTATTAATCTGTTTCACAAAAAAATTAGAATACCTATTCTGCTACAAAAAATTATAGGCACATAAAATGAGCCAAAACAGATTTTTCACCAAAATTCTAACTAGTATCAAAAAATACACAAAGAAAACTCTAAGATCAATTATAAAATGGTCTAGATTATGAAAATATAGATGGAAGTGTGGGAAAGACATTTCTGAGAAGATACGTACATGGTGACACATTAGCACAAGAAAAGATGTATTACATCAAACACCAGAGAAATGCATGTTGAAATCACAGGATGTGGCCCAGTGAGATGGCTCAGGGCATATGATGCTTGCTGCCAAGTCTAGTGACCTGACTGAGTTCAATCCCCAGGAACACACATGGTGGAAGTTGAAAACTGACTCTTGCAACTTGTTCTCTGACCTGCACATATAACCTACTACACATAAATAAATGTGAATTTAAAAAGGGGGAAATTTCAGGAGGTACCTACACAACTGCTTAAACAAAAGTGACAATACTAAATGGTACATAAGATGTTTGCACACTCAAAATACACAAACTAATGTTCAGTGTTCCCTTAATAAATAAATTTCTAGAGGTGAAAAGTAGAAACAAATCAAGAAAAACGGTTTATTTTAAACTTGGAGATGTAAGAAAAAGACCCAAGATCATAACAACAAAGATGGTACCCAAGGACATATGTAGTGCTATACTCACTCTACTAAGAGTCCATGCTAACAATTTAGTTTTAAATAAAATGAACATCAACCTCATATAATGGGCATCCTTTCAGATCGGGAGATGCACATTACCCCGGTTATGCAAAACAATGAGTTTTAATTTTTATTTTATTTAACTGTATCTGACCATATCACTGTCAACTCCATCTCTTGCTATAGAATCTTTTGTAAACAATCTGTTCTTATAGCAGTATTGAGAAGCACAAAAAACAGAAGCATGTCTTATTTTAATGACCATTTCAAAACATTCATTTCCATGATAATCTATTTTCACAATAGTATCTGAAAATAGACATCAAGGAGTAAACTGACTAAAGATATACAGATACGATTTGCTTTCATATTTTACACAAAAGGAAAAAACACAACAGAAAATGTGTTTCATCTTATTTCTTCGAGTACTTCTTATCTAGACTACAGAGACCAGTTACATTTTCTTTCTTGTCTTTTTCTTCTTCTGACTGATCTGCTGTTTTCCATTTGCAAATAAATATAAATCAACATTCTATTCAATATATCCAAACACGACTGAAAGTAAACTATTTGTATCCATGATACATGGCTCTAGGACATAATTTCTAGTCTCCCCATTCCAAAATGTGAACAGCAAAATAAGAGGATGAATATTCAATCATATACAAATAATTTGTATACAACTTATACAACATAGTTGCATACATTCTGATACTTTTCTTTTTATGTAAGAGGTGTTTTGACTGTATATATGGTGCTGGAGAAATAGCTGAGAGTTCTACATCTGGATCAGCAGGCAGCAAGAAGACAGAGCGACACTGGATGTGTGTACCTTGAGAATATAAGACCTCAAAGCCCATCTCCACAGTGATACACTTCCTCCAACAAGGACACAATTACTCCAACAAGGCCACACCTCCTAATTGTGCCATACACTATGAACCTATGGGGACCATTTACATTCAAACAACCACAATTACTCAGCTATCTCTCAGTCTTCATTAAAGTACATCTGATGGCGATAATCATGATGTCAGTACATACCAAGATAAGTCAATATATCCATTTGAATCCTTAATTCTCTTTTTAGTTAAGATTTGGCCTTCCATAAAATCTTTTAAGTTATTATATGACTAGTTCATAAAGAAGAGGAAAAATTTCTATTTTGAGTATGTGAAAAGCTATATACAATTTGTTCTCTCATCTTAAACATTCATGCATAATTAGTTTAAAATAAGTCTTCCCCAAAGGTAAACATGTGATGTATGAAACTACCTAACTTACAAAATTGTTATCCCTTCAACAACACTAAGAATGGGAGATAACCTATGTTCCACCAGAGCAAACCCACAGCACTACAACAGAACACCAGCTACAGCTTTCCTTAACTCCGGCTCACATCTTATGTGGATCCCACAGACAATCTCCTACAAACTTGCCTCTCTGAACTTCTCACTGTATCCCAGTAGACACCACCTGCTAAAACTCAGTCCATAACTGTCAGAAAATCAGATGTCAAAAGACAGCATAAAAACAGTCAACAACATCCAAGGAAATTCAGCCCAGCTATGCCTACCACAGCAGCCCCTGAATTCCAATACATGACGATGATAGAGTTCCTTAACGAGGAAATGAATGAATCCCCTAAAGAAATACAGGGAAACATGAACAAAGATATGGAGGAAATGAATGAATCCTTTAAAGAAAGTCAAGGAAAAAATAGTTGAAGACAAATGACACAACCCTCCAAAAAAAACAGATTAACAAGATAGATACAAAAACAATATCCCACCTTCTGCTATATCCAAGAAACACACCTCAACATCAAGGATAAATATTACCTCATGGTAAAAGGATGGGAAAGGACATTCCAAGAAAATGGACTTAAGAAGCAAAATGGTATAGACATTTTAATATCTAACCAAATAGACTTCAAGCCAAAAGTAATCAAAAGAAATAGGTAAAGACACTACATATTCATCAAAGGAAAAATACACCAAGGTGGCATTTCAACTGTTAATGTCTATGCTCTAAACACAGGGGCCCTCAAACTTGAAAAAGAAACACTACTCCACTTAAACCACTGATAGTGGAAGACTTCAGTGCCCCACTCTCACCAATAGACAGATCGTCCAGAGAAGAAGAAAATGCTAAATAATATACCTTCCACTCTGCACATTTAAATGGGGTCATGCCAGGTGGGGGTACAATGTTTCTCCCAAGAATTGTATACTAACAGAAACTTTAATACCAGGTAAGGGGAAACTCTTTTCAAGTTGTCAGGGGCTGTCCAAGAGATTCCCAAAATAACACAAATGATTGCCATTGCCCTTAGTTTCCTCCCAGAACTTGAATGTAAGAATCTATTCCTAAAGATACCGCACACTTGGCATAGGACCTGGAGGAACAACAGAGCTGGAACTGACCTGGAAATCTCTCCGCCCTGTGGACTAGCTCTCATTGTAATGTAAGATACTATGAAAGCTGCTAAGGGAGAAAAGTAATCAACAGTCCTGCCTAGCGCCTACTAACCACAACAATGACTAGACCAGTTTGACATCCCCAATGGTGCAATAATGGCACTATTTTCACAGAGGTAAGCAACAACTGTCTAATTGGACTTAAGGTAGGTTTGACAGGAAGCAATTCCTGCCTGAGATTGCAAACCTACACAAGTACCCATGGGCAGAGAAGTCATAGAACATAGAAGTAAACCTACAAGTGCTATTTTCCTGAGTCAATATAATGTCTAACTATATTTTAAATACTTATCCTTATATCCACAGATGAGTACAACTTTCACCCCTCACCAAAGAATTTTCTTTTTTGCAGCAAATGTAGGCAACTAAAATGAGCCACAACTGGTCAAAATCCAGAGAATAAGTGACCACGGGGTGCCCACTCTCCCAATTGGTACATCTACAATGCCACCACAATACCTAATGCTCAGGTGATATTGTATATGAGACGATGGAAGTTTTTAAGTATCATATAACTAGTACGGCTGCTACATAGTGTCTTCTAGACATGAGACAAATTGCATCCATGACATCTTAAATAATATGGTTGCCTAAACAAGACCCACATAATGACAACACTCCCAAACATGTCAAGGTGGATGGGAGGGCTTAGTAAATCATTTTCTGTACTTACTAGTACAAATAATTAATTTAACTATACTATTTGCTTATTTGTTTTGTTTCACTTTTGATGTTAAAATCTTACACTATGATTGTCAAAAAGAGGCCCTCAAGGACAGGACAGATGGGTTCATCAGTTCAGAGTACACTGACTGCTCTTCCAGAGGACCCAGCTCCCATGAGGCAGCTCACAAGTGTCCATATCTCCAGGATCTGACACCCCTACACAGACATACATGCAGGCAAAATACTAATGAAACTAAAAATAAATAAAAAAACTTTTAAAAAGAAGCTCCTTTCCTATCATTTTTATGTTTCAAAGATCTGAATAAAAAGCATACCACAGCTTATTTCTTGAACTTAGTCAGTGATATCCATTGCTTATAGGCACCCTCCAATAAAAGGTTCTTTCTTTGTGTATATTGACTGCATTTTTCCAGTTTAAAATATCACTGGATATCATGGGAACATTAACCAAGCATCATAGAAACAACATCTTGTAATTGTTCACAAGATTTGGGGGGATTTCAGATAATGATTCCAAGAGTCACCTTCAAAAATAATTCTAAAACACAAGGTAGCTTGAATATAAGTGGCTTTCTCATTAGCTTAAACATATCATTCCTTGACAACATATAGTACTTCAAATTTGATAATAACTATAACAAACACAATATTATCATAGTTCCCCATGAATTAGATGAATCTAGTAATTCTATTACTAAATTAAAAGTTATAACTATGTGTAGTCACTCATTAGAATAAAACCCACTCAAAACAGAACTTAGATGATATCTGATAGATAATTAAACAGCTCATCTGTAATTCCACTACACTTCCAATAGTAACAGAAAACCGAACTTACTTCTACAGGAGAAAATGCTATGCCACATTCCACAGATGTGCTTTCCTCCACCTCTATGGCATACATATAAGGAACTTCTGTGTTTTTTAACTCTCCTATAGAAGAAGAAAAATAATATATAAAGCATATCCATGAGTGTGTGTGTGTGTAGCAATATTATTTAATGTGAACCTGGAAGATGTCATTATAATACAGCAATCAAAATGCAACTATTGAAATACATAGGGGTAAAGCTGCATACAATTTCTAAGTGAACAATGATTCTTAATACCAAGTTTATAACATCAAATTTCATATCTAAATATGCATTGTACAATTTGACAGTAAATAATAAAATCCATTATAAAATTCCTCCGAAGTTCAATAAATATATTAGTATTCTGATGAAGGTGTAAAGGAATAAAGAGCAAGATCAAGCAACTTAGTCATAGGTCTCAGAATAGCTAAGAAACGACCTATGCAATGAAGGGGAAGCAAAGAGACCCAGGTCTTATTTGATTACCTGAAAATTCACAAATGTACAAAGAATACCAATTATTTCAATTGTCCTTCATTCTTTTTGAGGATACACATGGAATTTCCTTTCAGAAACACACATACATACATATGTACATACGATGCATTAGTATCAAGTATTGCCACCCTAGTATTGTAGGGTCACAAAACATATTAGTCATTCACAAACAACATCATAATAAAAAGACAAACCATCTCACAAAATAAAAATTCTTGTCAAAATGGGAGTATTTAAGAACAAAGATATTAGATAAAAATACAACTGTCCCAAAGAAATTAATTGCTGAAAGTTCAAATGGAAGTTGCAATGGAACCACTCTTCTCTACATGAAGCAATCTGTAAACTCTAATTTGCTCATTCCATTTACCTTATTAATCCCAGGAATAATAATTTAATTGTCTTTATCTGAAAATCAAATTCTGCAACTTATCCCATCCTTTTTCTCACTCAAATTCACTTACCAATGATATGATAGGCAAGCCATGAAATAAATACACTAATACTAGAACTTTTGTAGCCTGGGAAAATATACAAAATATACCAATATGGTACATAAATATACCAATATGAGATGCAAAATAAGATAGTTTACCTAAATAAATATTTAAAAGCAAATATGCAATACATATAATAATATAGCTTGTGAAATAGATATTCCCTGTTGGTCTCTGGTATATTTTTCCTTCCATGACTTTGCCTTCGTAGTAATTACATGTGCAGTACTAGAATAGACAACTTTACTACAAACAAAAATTATAAATATGGTATTGTACCTTGTTAATATATACTCTATTAAGGTTATAACAAAAAACAAAAATAAAACCAAGAAACAAAACATGTACACAGAGCTTTCTACTGCCTGTCAGAATCTGGTTATTTTCATAGTAAAGTAAAAAAGCAAATACATTTCCACCTACATAACAGGAGTTCAAATGAGACTATCAATGATCCATAGGACAAAGGAAGATGCAACCAGTTTACAAAAGATGAAAAGACTGCAAGGAGCATAGAGAAAAGGGATGTATTATCTAGGAGACTGGAAATTCAGATATGTTGAGATGTATGTTATGGCTCCCGAAGACAATTTATGGTCCCTACAATGACCAGGAACTAGAATGACAAGACAGAAGTCATACATAAATGTATGTCAAAATTACCTTTCCCGTAAGTCACTCTATCAAATATTATTTAAAGGCCTTTGTTGGAAATCAGTAAGATGTCAAAAATAGTCATTTATCTCTTAAAATATTTCTAAGAAGATACATTTTCATAATGGTTTAAGAAAATGTTTTTTTGTTACTAGCTATTAAAGTCAACTCATGTGCTTTGTTTACTTTGTGCAGTTTGTTGCTCTGAAGCTCTGCTATTGGTAAAAGGAAACCGAGAGAGCTTTTTAAGTAGAGAAATATTATCAGATCTTTGAACGTAATACTCTGCGGAATAGGAATGAGGAGAAAGGGTTTGGAGCAGAAATGCATTTGAAAAGATAATTATGTGTCCTTGAACAGACACTTGAACTACAGGCAAGTCAACTATGAAAAGAAAAGAACTTTGCTGGGCAGCTTGCCAAAAAATGCCAAAAAGAGATGCTTCATGGAACAAGAGTGTATGGGTACCCAGGATAAAGTGTCAAATGGCTAAAACTTGGTTCAACACACATATTTAGTAAATAAACATAGATTTCATGTAGATTCCCAACAGTCTACTCTAAAATTGTCATGGATAATTGAGTAAGATACTCAAACACAGAGTGTGTGCTTAATCAGGATCTCACTCCAGCACTCTATTAACTGTGTAGTGGACTCTCAACTACCTGGACCTCAGGATCAAACACCAGAAATGACTGAAAATTCCCTCCTCTTCCTCCTCCTGTCCCTCTTCTTCTTCCTTCCCCTCCTCCTCCTCCTCCATACATGCATCCACTTTATCATTGGGTCATATAATTCCTCATTTCTCTGAACTTGTACTCTCTTCCTTCCTATTGCCAGTTCTCCTGTCTTGAGTCCAAACTTCTCAACAGCAACTTCTCAATTAAATTCCATTAAGAAAACTGCAAGATTAATTATACCATTGCCTGTGTAGAAATCCTATAAATTTGCTGCTTAACCTCTGAAATAAAAGTCCAGAAAGGCATTTAATCCCAACACTTGAGAGACAGAGAGAGAGATGGATTTCTTTGAGTTTGAGGCCACCCTTTTCTATAGAGGGAGTTCAAAGTCAGCCAGGCTGCATAGTGAGATCCTGTCTCAAAATATAAAACAATCCACAAATGTACTTTCACAACCTTGGTCTCTTGCTCCAACCACCAAACATACTAACTCCTTTCTAAGACTTTACCTTCATTCCTTCACATATACCCTTGTTTATATTCTTTCAGTTCCTTAACATGTGTAATAACTATCAATGTTCTGATAACTGAGTCTAGCCTACTAGGTTTTCCCCAAAGCAGAATTCCTTTAACACTGTGTGAGGAACTGTCTTGCATTGTGAGTCATGTTATATGGGAAAACCCTGATTTTTAATTTACCTACTGACGTAAGTAGTCACCATTTGTCACCTGGACCTAATGTTCATATTTCTTGGCTTTACTCTCTCTTGACTTCTCTAAAACAGTAAGTCAAGCTTCCTCGCTATTTCTCCTGATTAAAGTTCCACCATAGAAAACACCAGCAAAAGTAGTAGGGGAGAAAATGTCAAATATTTATCCTTCTATTCCCTCACAAGCCCTGCTTGCAGTTCTAGCAATGGCTCCATTGCTCTGTCACTATAGAACTTACTAGTTCCCTCACTGTACATAATATCACCTTCTGCTAGATCATCAACCTGCTTTTTCCTTTTGTTCCTTCAGGATTAGAGATAATGGCAGCTCCCACTCATTTTTTTGTTTCTTTTAATACTTCCCTAGACTCCAACACAATTCCATTTCTAAAGTGTATTTAGTTAAACCCTCTGTATGCTTCATCTTTGTTTGTCACTGAGATTCTGACAGATAACCTTATTGTTCACTTCTTAAGACCACAGATAATGTCTTAGTTACCTTAAAGCCTTAGTCTAATGTTTAGGCTAAAATTGGGATTGATCAAATATTTACTGATGAAGAATTAACTGAGTCAACTGTAAGAACGCTTTTTCTGTGAAGGTTCAAAAAGCAGATACAGTATACTTTGTGAGACAGGATTTCTGACCCAACTCTTCAATTCTGCCATTTTAGCATGAAAACAGACAAAAGCAATAGGCAAATAAATCTATATTTGAATTAAGGTTTGTTTATAACATAAAGTTCAAATCAGATTTATCCCAGGAGGATTAGTGCTAACTCCTAAAGTAAAAAAAAGTTATCATGTTATCAAAGTGTTCTAATATTACAAGAGACATATTGAAAGAAATAAAATCATAACAAATCATGGAAAGTAACTACCACTGTTATGTATGTTTTTAATGGTTATACCTTAGACAATTTAAAACTACTTTGCTTCATGATACTATTGCATTATAAAACATATACCTGCATTTCCCTTAAAATCCATTGCAAAAAGTGGAAATTCTTTTAGATTGAACTCTACTTTGGCCCGTGTCACACCTTTGTTTTTAATTATAAATGGAATAGTTTCTGTAGTGCCAACATAGGTGCCACTGAAATTAAATACATTCTAAAATAAAAAAGAAATAATAATTACAAAGTAGAATAATGCTTTACAAATATGTATAGTCAAATTTGTATTTGATATTTCTTAACATTAACTGCCAAACACATCTCTTTCTCTTCCCCATATCCTATACATAAAATACCAAAACCCACTAAACCTGCTCCCCTTCTTCAAACCCTTTACTTGAATGTATCTGTATGATAATAGTTAAGTAGTCAACTGTAATTTAGTTTCTAGATTTTTACTTTCTCAAATTCTTCCCCTCAATAACTAAGTCACAAAGTCCCTCTCTTATATTTGGTCTTCCCCCACCATCAACATGACAAGGACCAAGATCATCAGCAGTATTCATAACGCTGTCCAAGACCTTTAGTGCCTCTGAGTCTAGCCTCATCTAAGCCCTTTCCTCATCCTAACACTTTATATTTCAGTAAGCTCTGTGATTTTGCATTTCAAACTAACACCACATATTTCAACCATTTGTCTCTACTGACAAGCCTCTTCTCTAAAAGTATGTGTAAAGTTATGCATCCATAAAAAGTTCAGATAAGCCATAATTAATTACACTGTGGTAAGGATGACTTATTCCTTATGTTTATTTGCCAGGAGACACCATAATATCTGTTGACATATCTGACTCTTGTAATGAAAAACAGGATTCATTTTCATATAAAGCACATGTGTTTCTATCCTTGTGTGTGTCCATGTCTATATGTGTACTGGATGATTACTGAGTGCATGTGAACTCACGCTCACACACCTAGTATGTGACTCTATCACAAACTTTTGCAAGGTACCTCATTATAAAGTTACTTACTATAAGATCAACTCCTTATGAAATGAAGCACACAAAACATTAAAAGGGCATATAGCAACAGTACTATAATATTGGATTTAGCTTTTATACTATTTGATTCTTGTTTTTTCCCTTTTATTGAAACATAATTTTTACATACGCTACATGCTGATTATCATTTCCTTTCCCTCTACTCCTCTGAGTTCCTCCCATATCCCCTCCCATCTGGGTACACCCCACTTCTGTCTCTCAGTAGATAACAAATTGGCTTCTATGAGATAATAATAAAATGTAATTCTAGTATGGCAAAATGTAGTCCATAAGAATTGGATGAAACAAACAAACAGAAATAATAGAGCCAAAGGAAAGGCACAAGAAACAGAGCCCCACTCATTTACACACTCAAGCGTCCCATAAAAGCACTAAACTTGAAGCCATGTTATGTATGCAAAAGGACCTGGTGCAGACCCATACAGGCCCTCCCTCGGCATGTTGCCTCAATCTGTAAGCTCATGTGTTAAACATGTTGATTTAGAGGGCCTTGTTTTCTTGGTGTCCTCAATCACCTCCAGTTCTTTCCAATCTTCATTTCCAATAATCACCACAGTATTAAATGTGCTAGCTGAATATCTGCTGGTCTATGGATCTCAAGCTTTCATCACTGAGCAACAGGAATCAGAAACTAAAACCTGACGCTATGGCAGCCAGTTAAACTCTTTAAGCATTGTAATTTATAATTTAGTACCATAATAGCACCAGATAATGTGGAAACAATTGGAAAAAACTTGCAAGCAATCTCAATAGGATAATTGCTATAGTGAAAAAGCTCTCAGAGTATAAGAAGTTGGTAATATCTTATAAATCTCACAATGGAATAACATGAAGGCCTGATTTGAACATCTCATGAAAGTTTCTTTGGGTAAATGGACCAGAAATCACCATTTGAAATGCTGCTTAAATAAAGAAGGTGTGTGTGTGTGTGTGTGTGTGTGTGTGTGTGTGTGTGTCCATATGTGTTTCTATGTGCACACATGTGTGTTTCAGTGTGTGTGCACATTATTAATTGTAGAACAAATACTATTTATTTATAGATAATGATTTGAAAAGCTGATGTGGGTATAGTTCAGAAAATTAAAATCAAGACTACTGTAAGGAATCTATACTCATTAAATGAGCCCTTTACATCTCACAATGCAACTTGTGGAGCATTGAAATTTGGAGTACCAGAAATAAAAGTATTGATATTTTAGAAATTATCTTGTGGGGGCTAGAGAGATAGCTCAGCCATTAAAAGTGCTGGCTGTTCTTTCAGAGGTCCTGAGTTCAATTCCCAGCAAACACATGGTGACTCACAACCATCTATAATGAGATCTGTTGCCCTCTTTTGGCATAAAGGTATTCATGTGGATAGAGCACTCAAATACATAAAGTAAATAAATCTTTAAAAAAAAAATAAGCATGGGGAAAAAAGGTCCAAAAACAGAAAGAAATCATCTTGTAAAGATAAACATGAACAACCCTCCATCTTAGGAAGCCTTTGTACCTCAAAATATGACCTGCTGTGGTGAAATAACAGCCAGAAATAACTAGATTGAAAAACAATGGAATGAATACGCTAATTGTAGTATGTTCAAACAAACAACCTTTATGCAGCAACGACGAAAAATACAGCATAGTTTCATACAACCTAAATCAATACTGGAAAAACAATATTCAATTAAAGTACCTCATCAAGGACTACAAACACTTCTTCATATCTGTCATAAAACTCAAAACAAGACAAATTCAACCAATAGTTATGACATATATATCATATATGTAATATATGTATTATATATATATATATATAAACTTTCATTATAGGCAAAGGATCATCTCTTATGAATGATGAGAACATAATGAAACCATTTTAATAATACTGATAGTTTTCTCACACCTAGGATCAGTGTTTTATTCTTAAAGAATTCAATATCCTGCTTCATTAGTTACATACATATAATAACTACTATATGAAAAATTATTACACAGAAAAACTGATTAGGGATTGTTTAACATTAATGAACTGAATAGGGAAACAACATAACCATTTTAGTCATAAATTTAGCAAACAAGCAAGAGGCATACTCACAGGTGTGATTTCAACATCAGCAATTTCAACAGATCCAGAAATTCAAAGATCTATAACATTTGCACGGTGAATAGCAACCTTATTTAAGAGAAATGGGAATTTTTTTAGAAATTACTTTAAAATATAATCATATACAGATGAAAAATTCCAGGCTTCCTTATATGACACTTTATAATATAAATGAGAGTGTGTGTGTGTGTGTGTGTGTGTGTGTGTGTGTGTGTGGATGTATGTGTGTTTGAATACACACACACACACACACACACACACACACACACACACACACACACATATATATATATATATATAAAAATTAATTTTGGCAGATATTAGCATTTTTCTCCTTTGTCAGAATTGATACTACTTGGAAAACTGAGTGTTCAACCATTAGAAATCAGATGGCTTATGAATTTAATTGGACAGTAATATGTATTTGAATAGACCTGTCTATAATTCTCTGTAACACATTTATCCTAATCTAATTACAACATATTATTCAAAAAACACAAAAAGAACAGTTGAATGACATACACTTTGTTCCATAGAAATATGCTAATAGACACAGTAACTATAAAAATAAATCAAAAGTGTTATATAGGACTACTTTAGTACTTAATTATGTTGTCTTCTTTTTAAATACTTGATATAGTATGGCATAACTCTCTCAAGAAAATTAATTTCAAAGTGCAGAAAACTACTGCTTAGAAAGGCCAATGTTCTAAATTTTTGGGGAATATCCATAAATTTGAATGCCAACACAATTAAACCTGAACCATAGCCATAGAGAAAATTTTACATTTTCTTAAACACACACACACACACACACACACACACACACACACACAATGGATATATATTCTTTTACATATATGGCATAACACTGTCAGGAAACAAAGAAAATCTAACAAAAAAACTTAAGATACAAGTATGCTAAAACTCTCTTTGAGTTGTTGTTGGAGGGAGTCTACAAGATTCCCAAAACAACATGGTTGCCCCCGAAATCTTGAATATCAGACTCCTATTGCTAATACCACACATTTTGCTTACAGGACAGGAGGCATTCAGCTGGACCTCACCAGGAAGGTTCCTCCCTGGAAACTAGCTCTCATACTATTGAAAGGTGGTATGCAAGCTGCTACGGGAGAGAAGGAATCAATACACAGCTATGATGCCTACGTACCACAATGGCCTCCCTGAAAATATATCCCCAGTAGCACAACAGTGTCACTATTGTATTAGGTGGATAAATTTAAGACACACTTAATGGAAGGAATTCATGTCTGGTACTGAGAACAAGCCAACTTCCCACGTATGGAGAAGACAACCTACTATAGCTACTTCCCTACACCAGCAGAATTTCCAACTGCATTCTAAATATTTATGCTCAATCTCAGAGATAAATATAGTTCCCATCCCTTATTATAAAAAGCTATTTTTATAGCAGATGGGGACTATGACCAAAATTTACAACTTTTTAAAATACTGACCATGGATGGCCTTCTGCAAAATAACCATGACACCTAAGGCTTAGGGAACATCATGAAAGAGGAGATTGAAAGAATCTAACAACCAGAGAATCATAATGTCTCCTGAATCCCATAATTACTTTTTCCTAATTTCCCTAATGCCATGGAGAAAAGCTCATTGATTTCTAAGAGAACAGTGAGTATATGTCAAATCATTCAATTTTATGTAAAACTGCCTCATGCTTATTGGTAGTTATTCATTTCAACTTAGAAGAAACTTCAGCTACAGGGTTTATTGAAATGAGTTTTCAGAGACTTCTCTTCAAGTTTTGCTACCTAGTGATCTTTTAGATAATATAGGTATAGTTGCTACTTTTAGACCTCTAAAACCTACATATTCAGAATTAATTCAATTTTTATATAAATAGCACCTTAATTTATTTAGTGCTACACTCCAAAATTCAATTATTGATGAAATAAGTACATTTACTAATAAAAAGTATAAGCAGTTATTTTGTGATTATGTGCTTATTAGTATAAATATTTATAAAACATTACATACACATGGACACATGTATTTAAATACATATACACACATACATACACAAATACAGAGACAGAAAGAATGAACAATTACATGAACAAATATACCTTTGCTCTTGTATCAAATTTTTCTGCCACAGTAGGTGTACAGGAGATATTAAGAACAGTTATTCCCCCAAATGGGATTACTCCTTCTGATGGAATGATATTAATGGTAGGCAAAAGGCTTTGATCACAAACCTGTAATCAAAAATTGGTAAGATGCTACAGTTCCTTACAACATATTTATATCAAAGGTTTGACAGGGAAGCATCTATAGTACTTCCTAGACAGAGGCTCACTGAACTAAGACATGAGGTAATTTTGTAATAGAATTTTACTATATCAAATACACAAATAATTTAAACTACAACTAGTTCCTCCCATCCAGTCCTTATTGCTACCATGACAATCATGATTACAAAGTGAAAATAAAAAAGGAAAAAAAAGATAACTTACTATACAGCTTAACATTTCTTCGAAATTATATTTAAAACATTGTTTACTTTTTTTAATAAACCAAATGATACCGGGAAAAAAAGGAAAAATCATAACTTGGTAAAGTAGAAGAACAAACTTGCTAAATGTACTCAGGAAATCTAATTATAATAACTTAATCAGTGCTTTGAGTCCATTTATAAATAACAAAGTATTAACTTTGTAGTATCTTTAGAAGAAACTGATTAAAATCATTACTTAATTTGATCCAAATAAGGAATGATAAAAATTCTGCATTACCTTGAAATAAGCATGGTTTTGCCCTATATTGTGAAGAATGGCTTTCCTCCAAGTAGTTAAACCTTGCGATGTATTACTAAATAGTATTCTTGGCTCTAAAAAGGTGACTTTAGTATGTCCAACCTGGTAATAAAAAGAAGAAAGTGAGAAATTACCAAAATAATAGCAAATAAAATAATTCAATTGATTTGCTTGGAAGATTAAATGTAAATAACATTTACCTACATCACCAAATATATATAAATACATTTAAACCTATACACAAATAATTTTATCAATTGATCTACTGTGGTCTGTTTATAGCTTGAAAAGGTCTTAATATGAACAGAGAAATAAAGCCAAACATTTCTCAATGGGAAGAGAAGAAAGTAATGAGAGAAGTGACAAAAATATACCCCTATCATATAATTGGAAAATTAACTTACGGAGAATTTTAAAATATAACATGTTAGTAGATTTTGTTGAATCCTTAAGACAAAGAAAATTAGAATATAATGTCTAAATATTACTCTCTCTCAAAGTGCTGGTGGAAAATAATTTACTGATAGACTATTTTCCTAGCTTGGGTGAAGCCCTGGGTGCGATCCCAGTCACACAACCACACACACACACACATAACTGTAGAAGGAAGGGTGAGGCTGTCCCTATGGCAGAAGTGTTTCCTAGACTGAGAAATATACTGAACATACTGACAAATTACTGAAAGACTTTTAGAGTCATCATTTACTCAGTTACATATGGCATACTACTGTATGCTATGCAACAGAATTCAAACATCATCTAAATAGAGGGAACAAGCTATTAAAGATGAATTCACCCAGACATGCTTCTACTAGAATCCATTTTTTTTCTTTCTCTTTTTTTTCTTTTTGGTTTTTTGAGACAGGGTTTCTCTGTGTAGCTTTGGAGCCTATCCTGGCACTCACTCTGGAGACCAGGCTGGCCTCGAACTCACAGACATCCTCCTGCCTCTGCCTCCCGAGTTCTGGGATTAAAGGCAAGCGCCACCAACACCCGGCCTAGAATCCATTTTTATACAGCTTAATATGCAGATAATGAATGTTTGGCCTACATGAGATGGGAACATCTCATGAGTCAATGCACTCATGCACTCTAATTGACAGAATTACACAGGCATTGGGATTTTCCTCTTCCTTCCAAGAAAAGCATTTCACAGAACTAACAAACCATAGAACACTATTTTCAAGTGTGGCCATTATGCTTGTTTACAGTAGTAAAGGTAAGTAATCAGGCATCAAAGGTAATTGTAACACATTTTATGCAAGAAATATTGAGTTGAGTACACTTTATACTAGGCTTTAAAACACGTTTATAAAATATGCTATTATATTAACCTTTAGTACACTTACAATTATTTTAAAACATAAATTTTGTAACTAGAATAATAAACTTTCAAATCAAGCTAAAACAGAAGAAAAGAGTAAATCATATTTTTATAAATATATGATGAACCTTTATTAACATTTTAAAACATGTTATGTACCTCCATGAAGCTGTCTTTGGAGTTAACTTTAAAAGTGGCAAAGCTTTACCTGAAATGACCCAATTTACTATTCAGTTACCTCAGTTATTTTGTTGTCTACTTTACTATTTAATTATCACTCTCATTGACTCATGGGGTTGGGAACAGATAAATCTCATTAAGAAGGGTACCAATAAAGTCTACAGAGGCAGTTGGATCTGGAAATAAACCACTTGTGAACATGTATTAATTACTAATCTTCCAACAATTCACCATTAATAAACATAGGTTGAGTATGTGAGCAAAAGTACATTATGAAACTTGTTTGATACAATTAAATAAACAGATAAATACTGTACATATGCTCATTAAAAGAGTTTCAGTAATGGAAATGAAACATGTTAGTAGTAACACATATCTTTTAAGTAGCTTTGTAAATGGGAAGTGACAGTACATTCACCCAAATGGGATACTTTTCAAAGAGGACAATGAATAATCTACAAACATATTCATCAGCACAGACTAGTCCTACAAAACTAATTATAACAGGGAAGGGAAGCATACATGTAATGATGCAGTTTGCTTATGTGAACATAAATTTTAGACCATAATTAATTTACCGTAAATAAGAAAAGTGATAACCTTGGGAGGAATATAGTTATGGGAAATGTGGCTTGGGGACAGAGTGGTTCTTTTGTTATGCTAATCATACTCTGTTTCGAGATCTGGGTGATCTGTGAGTAGTAACAAGGGATCAATTTGTAAAGATAAATGATACATACTTTTAGTATCTTACCTTTATGTATGTGTTTCAAGAGAAAGCTTTTGAAGTAATTAATATGTGATTTATACACAAAGCTGGTAGAAGTCAGCTTATTTCAAGCTTGGACCTGAGGAAAGACCCTATTATGTTCTGATAGCCACTTGTAATCCCTAAAATTGGACAGACTCTTAGGTATAAGCTACAAGCACCTTCATAGATGAAATACATTAGATACTATGACCAGAAAATAAAGATAGAATTCAGTGAAAGTACTTAGTTGTTTAAAATCTCCAACAGCATTGGCTGGGATCATAAACACAATGCACTCTTGGTGACCAAAAGTAATATTGTTAGGGCATCTTGGGTCATACCATGGAATGAGATCTAGTTAAGGTCACATTGTTTTTTTATTGTAAGAAACATATTCTATAGTTAATAAAAACCCTGGTATCTTTTAATATAAATTACATAATCTTTTCCACACTAAATTACTAACACTAGAAGATAAAGACTTTAGGAAATAAAATATAATGTAAATAAAATATAATTTTCTCTACTATACTGTATATTTTGTGTTAGTGACACAATTTATTCTCAAGTGGCTCCCACAATGCTACTACATATTTATAGACTCTGTCAACATAGTGTTGTTTCCACAAAGCACTTGGATATCTGAGTTAGTTCTACATTCATAGTAGGTACGTAGATCTACGAAGTAGCTAAAATAATTATTATATAAATTCAATTTTTACATGTAGAATTAAGACAAGACAACTATAGAGCTGGAAAACTTATAATGCTCAAGATAAAAAAAATACACATTCAAGAGAAATAATTACATGTGCAATACACTTGAGTGTCAAAGTATTTCCTCCATACACTTGAAGTACAAACTCTCCCTTTTCCGGAGAACTAAATCCTGGCTGCCAGGTGACTTCACATTCCAGTGAGCAATAAGGATCAACAATGCCTACAGAGAAAAAGATATAAAAGACACCATGATTTCATTATTCATTCTTTTGTAAACATTCAGGATAAGAGCTAGTGTAAATATGTAACGGCGTCATATGACAACTATAACTAAATTTAAATAACAGAAATTATAAGTGAGGTATTATTAAACAAACACAGCCCTAGAAGATTTCATTAAAAGCTAAAATATAAATTGATTTTGTTCACAGGAAAAAACAAATGTATACCAAAATACGCCAATGTTTGAAAAACAACTGAAAATCTATCGCAGCAATAAACATTAGGATTAGAGATACACAGACAATAGGAAAACTTTTGTGACCCCTGACAAAATTAGCTAATCTATTTCCTCAATATTATTAAGTAATTATCAACATGAACAATTATTAAGATTTCAGAAGGAAGAATTGCTATTGTGGCTTTTAGAGATTAACTTCTGATAGAGCTAAAAGTAATGACATATAAGAGAGCATGTGATATTAGACACATTAGGTATAAATGTGGGGCTTCTTTAATTTCATCATTTCAAAAGGAAATCATGAATAATGAGAGCAAAGAGCTGTAGGAATTCTCAAGAAAATAGAGAAAACTTCAGTATCTTGCATGTGAGGTTTGACATGAAGGATGGATGAGCTAGAACTTTGGAGGATGGCAAAATTTGGCAAGGACATAAAAATGGCCAACGAAAATGACAAATTTAATCAAGAAAAACAGCAAAGAATACCTGATGGAAAATGACTCTGAAGTTACTACTCAGGAAGAAAGAAGATGCTGAAATTTGGTGACACATGTCACTAAATGGAACATATGACTTACCATTACAAACAAATTTTGTTTGGGGCTAGTTTGACTTGCATGCACTGCCAAGTTTTGTTTTGCTTTGCTTTCCTTTTTAGTTCTTAAAAATGAAGAGACAGAATGGTGACCTCTGCTTTTGCAATGGCCATACCAGGAGATAAAAACTCAATGAAGTGATGGGCATGTATGAGTTGGTAAGAAAGTATCAAGTAACACACTTAAAATATCCTTGGATGTCAATACTGTGATCATGAACTGTAATTAATGAAACAGACAAGAGTTGGTTGTGGAAGTGTTTAAGTGTCTAGACGTCTCTCAAGATCACCCTGGCTGTAAGGAACAAAAAAGTCCTGATAGAGACGATTAAAGAGACAGAGGTTTGTTCAGGAAGAAGTCACCCCACTATAATTAAGGAAGTAGTGAATGGGAATGGCTATGATGGAAAATAAAGAAGATTCAATGATAAAAGAGGAATGAGATTTTAAAAAAAGATTACCAGTTAATGTTGATGAATCTATGTGAGAAAAATTTCTCCCTTTAATCAACACAATTTCTAAGAATATTGTGCTTATCAGGTAAGAGATAAAGAAGTCATAGAAATTGCCGGGCGTTGGTGGCGCATGCCTTTAATCCCAGCACTTGTGAGGCAGAGGCAGGGAGATTTCTGTGAGTTCAAGGCCAACCTGGTCTCCAGACAGAGTGCCAGGATAGGCTCCAAAGCTACACAGAGAAACCCTGAAAAAAGAAATGGTTTAAATAAGGATGAATTAGTTAACAGTTAATATAATCAAGAATTAAAAGAGCTGATATTTGCTGGGAGATGTTGCTCAGTGAAGAATACTGAGAAAGATTCAAGTGAATTAACTGAAGACAAGTTCAAGTATTGATTCATTGTATTGGCAAAGAAAAAGCCAACAAACTAAATAAGCATATAAAAAAATTAAACTACAAGTGAATTCTCTCTCAGAAAATATCATTCCACTTTCACTTTCTCCTTTTTACAATATTCACTATCCACATACCAATTCAAACAATATCAATGTCCTAGGAAGAAATGATAGACACTTTAATATAGCATTTTCGCATCACTTTACAAAAGGGCAGAAAGGTCTATGACTCAATTTGTTATACAAGATTCCAGATCAAAATAGTGTCAAAATGTAAGGGATAAAAATTCAGGAGTAAAAACTATATAAAACTGAGTAATCACTGAGGAATGTATTATATAATTACAAGTATTACATGCTTTCTTAAATTCTAGGAAAAAATAATCTGCAAAACTCATATTTTTAAAGTAAATTAATGATATTTACATAATATTTCATATGGAATTGAAATATTTAAATATCTGTATGCTATAATAATTTCTCGAAAAACATATGAAAAAAGTCATGGATACCGAAAAGAAAATAGAAGCAAATACCCATATCTCCTTTACAAAGAATTCTTAAGACCATGCAAAACTTAATTATTATGACATTTATAACTTTGCAATTCTACTTCGATTTTATCCAAACTATGCATCACCATTGCATTTCCACCACAATGACAAGATGAAGGTCAGTCAATTAAGTCATAGTTAAAATAGAAAAATAACAGAATTTGGACAAGCATAATACACTTTGCTTTTTAAGCGCCATTAATGGAAACTAATAGAGTTGGTAAGAACCTACAGCCAGACTACTGATTTCTAATAAAAAGCTATTATATCCTTATAAGGGCTGTGGAGCATCTCTGAAATACACAGAATTACATTATTTTCTCAATAGGAGTCAGTGTTAACAACATTACAGTTTAAAATACAGTCTGTGCAAATGAATTTGAGAAGTATCAATACAATAAAATTATGGTGTGATTATGCTAAATAACTCCAGGCTATTAAGACACTTCAAAAGCTTTATAATGAATTCTAACTTTATTAAAGAAAAAGCTCTTTTTCCAACGTTAAAATTTATCAGTATCAATGAATTAAGTTTAATGTTAAGATTAATTTATAACACTCTTCTATGAACAGTTGCAAACTGTATCAAAATATTTGGAAACGACTGGTAATCACAAGAAAATAAATACTCTATTTTTATTATAATTTGAAACATAACAATTTATATTCTAAACAACAATTTTTCCTAAATTGTAACTAAAGAGAGTAAGTAGAAAGTATAGAGGAAGGAAGAAGAGGAGGAAGACAGGAAAAACGGAGTAGAAAATAGAAATATCAAGACATATGGTAAGCTGCTAATATTTTCAGAATACTTTCAAATAAAAAGGTTCAAGAAGTAGAAATTTTCAAAATCATATAACTATCCATTTATATTTTTACCATCCTTTGTGAGACATTATAGTTTTCCATAAATTTAATATTAAATATTTATTTTATGTGTGTGTGACTGAGTACATAAGTACTACATACATGAAAGAGCCTGCAGAGGTCAGAAGATGGTGCCAGATTCTCTGCAACCAGAATTACAGAATTACAGAATTACAGAATTACAGAATTACAGTTGATGGACCATGTGGGTTGTGGGAAACAAACCTAGGGACTGTGTAAGAGCAGCAATCACTCTTACCTGCTAAGCCATCTCAGCAGCCTATCATACACGTACAGACAGGAAGTTAACATGCATACAGAAATTTGCTCATGAAAAAAAAATAACTAATGAGTGAGAAGCTAAGATCAGCTTTAATCTTTATTTTATTTGGCAATCATGGAGTACTAGACTCTACAGTAATTCAGTGTAGATGCAATGACTCCAATCTTTCCATCTCACTGTAAAAGTGTAAGCACATAAAATGGAAAGACAGGATTGATTGGTCAACTGGTAACTTACAATTTAATTCTTTAAATTATACCTTCTATCCTCAAAAGTACTCACTGCACAACACAGTGATGTTTGCCAAATACAAAACATTACTAGATAAATCGCACTGTAGAAGTTACCTAGTTTGTATAATAAAAAATACATTACCTGAAATTATTAGATTGTAGGGAATGACACACAAATTGAAACGGATGGCTAACTATTTCAGGAACCCATCAAAAGCAGTAATTTAGACTGTCTTATACTAGTGTTCTTATTAAATGACACTCTTAAGTTTGTAATTGCATTAAATTTATTTTATTAGTTGTATTTGTCACTAGTCATAATTAATTTAAAATCTAAGAAAATGTAAGTCATAGTAATTCATCTTATAATTTTACTCAAACTGCAAAAGCAGTAACATTTTCAGTAGTATCTCTAATGGTTAATGTTACACCACATTGTTTAGATTGAGGGACTCAGTTGTGTGGTCAAACACCAAGCAGGATAATAGCCTTGAGAATATTCAGATGTGAATAAGATAGTAGAATTAAAATAGTTAAATGAAAAATACTGCATATAATTAGGTCAAACAATGTGCTACTTTGATATATGTTCACATTGTGTGGCAGTTTTCATAAGGAAATGCATATTCAGATTACATTTAATAATCTCAGTGGGTCTTAATAATCTGACAGCCTTAGAGGATTTAGAACCCCTAAAAATTAATCTTTTCTTTGATTTAAACACTACACCATATTTCCTATGGGTATTTAGTCTCCCACCTTGCCTTGTAAACTTCTGATTTATTAAGCCACATAGTTAACGAAAAATTTACATCTCTTATTATGTGTTTCCGCTAGAACTTCAACACACAATCCTTATTTTCAAGTCAAATTTATACATACGAAAATAGATCTCCTGATGATAGTATCCAGTTTACCTCTATGCTATTGATGGAAGTAAGTACACAGTACATGCTCAATAAGTAATTAATGCCTGAATACATGAGATAATGAATTAATTTCTAAATAACTATATGTACATATTCTATTACCTTGGGCTGGACGAATAGTAAATGCCATTCCTCTCAGTGCACTTACTGGTTTCCATACAAATTGGGCAGGACGATTCAGATGATTATATAGCCTAACTGTTCCCCGAAAACATGTTTTCAACAAGAAGGTTTGTGGTCTCAATACAATATCATTACAAGACAGTTCAAGTTTTACAGGCAGGATGACAGCCATCACTAGGATGTGTCCACCAGGGATGTTGTTAATTCTGAAGGTGAATGATCTGTAACAGAGTAAAGAAACTCCCAAACTTAACTGATAGCACAGTTCCTATTTATGATTACAGGCTTCAGATACATATGAAATATATATGCTTTAGATTACCATAAATAATTAATTCACAAAACAATGAAGAAAATTAGATCATCACTGAAATATATGAGCATGCAAGTATACAAACTGATGTATATATTACATTTTCTAGAGTTTGGGATAAAATATAATATATGCTACAATTACTGAAGTAAATTAATATCATAAATGACTCTAGTAAGCAGAAACTGAGAAATAAACCTTACTTCCAAAATTTTCCATTGGTAGAAGACTCAAATACCATCGAAACATATGTACTAGATGTAGGTGGGATCACATATGAAAATTGGTTGGTTTTCTGAAGTTCTTCCAAATCAATATCTAACTGTATCAATATATACATGGGCAGCATATTAACAATGTGAAGTAGCTGAGTATTTGTAGATTTCACACAAATATTACCAAAGTTAAGGACAGATGGTCCTGAAATTAAAGTAAGTTATTAATTAAAAGTATTGTAAAGGTCTTCCTTCATTTTCTAAGTCTTCAGATTTTATTTTGGTAAATTAAATTGTCTAAAGTTAACATAAAACTATTTAGTATAATATCACACAAATATCTGGTACAATATCAGACATGAACAGCTTGTACTTATATCTAGCAGACCAAAGTTTCATGTTTGAGATTATTTGCTTCATGTGCAATATGAATATATTCTAGTATGGAAAATTTCATGGTAAAGTAATAATCACAATAAAACTCCTATCATCGCTTTGATCTGCAACAGTTCTCCAATGTGTCTACTTATGTAAGTACACTTAATTTTTTCATCAACATATAATTCATAAAAAACAGCAGTTTTCAATTCTATTACTTATTTCCTAAGGGTTCCCACTATAATACCTAAATCTTTAATTATAATAATTAAATATACATAATAATTATACATAATCTCTTTTTATTTAGAGACACGACATAACTTTACAGCCAAAGCTAACCTTGAACTCATGATTCTCCTGTTTGTGGATATATTATAGGTATGCATCACCCCACATTTTTTTCAATCTGCCAATTTTAATAATTTCATTAAGTTATAACAGATATAGAATATATTAACTGTATTTAATTATACAGTTTCTTTAGTACTGACATATACATATAAACAATGAATACTGACCACTATAAAACATTTTCTTGTACCTTGTTAATTTATTTCCTCTCTCTCACCCCAAAATATTTCTCAGAAAATTCACATGCATTTCTATACAATATCCTTTTTCTTTCTAGAGTTTTGTTTTAATTACATCTATTTATTTATCTGCTTATTTTAGTGTATGTCTGTGCATATATAAAGACATATGGGTGTGCCACAGCATGTGTGTAGAAGTCAGAGGGCAAACTGCAAGTTCTCTCAACATTAAGAATTCTGATACTCAAGTTCAATTCTCCAGGTTTAAGGGCAATCACCTGTACTCACTCATCCATCTCACTGATCTTCACTTTCCAGAGTTTTAAATGAATAGAATCATCTGGTATATAACAGATTTGTGTGGATTCTTTCTCACAGTGAATTTTCTAGATAGTCATCCAACTTTTTTAGTAAATAATTATTTCATTCTTTTGTATTATTAAGTAGTGTTTTGTGATGTTTAGTTTAAACTGTCAACTTGACACAATCTATAATCAACCTTAAAAAAAAAAAAAGGTCTTAGTTTGTCTAGACTAGGTTGCTCTGTAAGCCTGTGCTGTGGAATATTAGTTTAATATGTGTTACATTCCTTTAGACTGCAGAACATCTGTATAATGATGCAAAATGTGTTACATGCTTTTATGTTGCATTTGTTTAACTCTGTGAAGCTATGTTATTACGTTGCTTGCCTTAAACACCGTATTCGTCTAATAAAAAGCTGAACGGCCCATGGCTAGGCAGTAGAAAAATAGATGGGGCTGCCCAGCAGAGAGAATAAAAAGGAGAAATCTAGGCTCGAAAAAGAGAGGAGGGAGGAGGGAGAGGAGAATAAAAGGAGGACACCAGGGACCAGATAGCCAGCCACACAGCCACAGAGCCAGCCATGCAGTAAGAAGGAAAGATATAGAATAAAGAAAGGTAAAAAGCCAGAGGCAAAACATATAAAGAGACTGGTTAACTTAAGAAAAGTTGGCTAGAAACAAGTCAAGCTAAGACCAGACATTCATAAGTAAGAATACATCTTAGTGTATTTATGTGGGAGCTGGGTAGTGGGTCCCAAAGAGTTTAAAAAAAAAACTACAAGCATGTCTATGAGAATTACTTTGATCACCTTAATGGGTATGGGAAGTCCAAGCCTAATCTGGGTCTACATCACACATTGGTTTGAAGTTGTGGAATGTATAAGAGTAGAGAAAGTAAACTAAGCACTAAAGCATATATGCATTCATTTCTCTCTGCTTTTTGTCAGGGTATTTTCTTCATAACAACAAAAAAATAAAACTAGGACATAATCCCTTTATGTATATTTGTTAATTTTATTGGTTTATTCACCTGTTCACTAATATTTAGTTTCTAGTTTTAGCTATTTCACAACTGCTACTAAGCATCTTTGATAGTAAGCACTGATTTGAGATACAACTTCATTTCTTTTGGATAAATGACTAGGAGTAGAAGGGATGAATTACATGATTGGTTTGTACATGAATATATAAGGAGCCAGCATATTTAAAATAGTTTTATGTTGTGTACTACTCGTGAGAATATAGCTATTTTAAACAATTTGCTGGCCACTTATATAGTCACTACTCTTGGGTTCTTTGTGTTTGAGGGGAAAATTAGATAGTGAGATGCTTTTGCTTGATGAGTTACCTCTAGCCATATACTAAATTTATAGTACTGTCTCATTTTGGTTTAATTTTACATGCCCTTAAGAACTAACAATGCCTATTTTAATACGTGAGAACACCCATTTTGTATGTGCTTTACTGAACTGTCTGTTCAAATTTTCAGCCTGTTTATTAAAATTTAACTGCTACTTTTGTAAGTTTTATTGTATATTCTAGTTAAAAGTAGTTTATCAGATATATAATACATAACAGTTTATTTTAGTTAATGAATGTTTTTTTTATTCTCCTACCAACACAAAAAAGCAAAAATACTTATGTTTGAATAATCTCTTAATTCCTATTGGATGTTTTGTCAATTATGGCTTTATTTTCATAACTAAAACATTTTACGTTTCCATAGTTAAGGATATTTTCCTATATATCCCTCAACAAAATTTTCCTATATATCCCCCAACAAAATACATTGTTTATAATCCATTTTCCTCAGATTTTTAAAAATAAAACTGACAAAGTTTGTACATGTTTGCAATATGTATAACATTTCCTATATACATACATTGTGATAGGATTAAATAAATCTAATTGAAATATCTGTCACCTCACACAGTCAAGTTTGTGGCACAACATTTATATCACCACTGACTTTCAGTAATATAAAATTTATTGTTAAATATAGTCATATAGCTCTCCAGAACTTATACTAAATGAAACTTTGTATCCTTTAAGAAACCCGGCAACTTTGTCCTCCATCTCACACAAAGCCTCATAGCAACCAGTTTATTCTTGGTTTTATAAGTTCCAATGCTTCATTTAATTCCACATAAAAAAGGAAAGGAGGGAGAGAAAGAGGCAAAGAGAAAAAGAGAACATGAGAATATAATATAAAATTGGCCAGGTAGGAATATGAGTAGGATCTGGAAGGAGCTTAAGGGGACATGATCAAATATGTATAAAAATATTTAAAATCAACACACACAAAAGAGTGTAGTAGATTTCTGTATAATCTTACCAACAATTACTTGATGGATTTGCTTTGGTGTCAAAACTTTGCTGCAGTCTTGTTTCTCAAGGTAAGTGGTTGGCTTTGATTTAAGTCCTTTGATGATCTGTTTTTCCAAAATTAATCATTCAATATTAGTAAGAGCCATTTTTAGAATTCTCATGACATAAGAAATTTGAAAACATGTCACATGCCTTTCTCTGCAGAGATTCTGTCTCCCTGGATGCTATTTTCTTGGTGCTTAGCAATCTTTTAACTTTGAGAGAAGAAGACTTTAAGGATGAAGGTATTTCCTCTTCTATTTCTGATTGAGACAGTGATGGTGACCTTAGACCAGATGATGGCAGCATGCCTATATCTACTTCATTAAGTGGATACATGCGTCCCCTATAAAAATAATGATGATGATGATAAAACAATAGTAATACTGGATAATTGAGGAAATGTTGTCCACAAAACAGTAATAAGTGCAAATATTCTTCATGAAGAACAGTTATGGGCTTACCCATATCCATGTAATTGAATTAGAATACTTATCTGAAGGATGCTTCCCTCTACTAAGCAGCCTCCACTCTTCTTCAACACCTAAAAGAAGAAGTTATAGCCAACCCTTTTTCTTTTCCACACTCAAAAGACTGATGACAGTCACTGAGCAGTTTGGACTTAACGAGAAAAGCCTCTTTGGTTCAAGACAGAAACAATGGTATCATTTATGTTCAAAAAAATCTTGACATCAGGCTGATTACAAACTTTATTTGAAACACATCAATTCTTCCTTTGCTGTACTCTGATTCCTGCATCCTATACAGCTTTCTCTTGGGAATATGCTTTTAGATAATCACATACAATAGAATCCCTACCTCAGGATCTGATTCTAGCAAAAACTGCCTAAGAAAACTGCAAATAAAAAGTTAGCAAAGACTACTGTAACCAAAAAAGTTCAATGTTTTGCCTTTTACATATATTGAAATGCGACTAAAACAACTCAAAATTTAAGTCATAAAGAAACAAATTTGATATTAACATGGTGATTACATTACTTTTTGTTTTTTCAAGACAGGGTTTCTCTGTGGAGCTTTGGAGCCTATCCAGGCACTCGCTCTGGAGACCAGGCTGGCCTCAAACTCACAGAGATCTGCCTGCCTCTGCATGCACCACCAATGCCTGGTAAAATTTAAGTCATAACAATCTATACAAACATTAGAAAATGGACTTTGGTTTTTTATTTTTTTTTTTGTATTTGCTTATGGATAAGACACTCAAAGCACGGACAAATGGGAATTTATCCAGCTAAGAAGCTTCTGCAAAGCAAATGATAAAAAGTAGAAACCACTGTTGCAATGGGGAAAATGTGCAAACTATTCATTTGAAAAAAGTTGTATCCAGAATACACACATAAATAAAAAGCTTACTAGCAGCCCCTCAATAATAAAATTGCATTGTGTACAGATGAAATGAGATGAATGCATACTTCTTAAATAAAGAACCGATAGCTAATTACTTTATAAAGCTCAGTGTCTTCAGTCACCAGAAAAACAAGAATCAAAACGACACAGATTATCACCTCATGTCACTGAAAAGACAAAATATGAAAAAAATCTAAAAATATGTGAAGAAATGCAAAACTAAAACATTATTGAGGTATAATATATAGCCACCATGAAAACTAATATGGAGGAACTCAAAGTTCCAAAAACAATGGCAAGGAAATTAAGAAAACATTAGTTATCCTAATCTAACCCAAATACATTGTATAGATGTCCTGAAATTTTACATTATTCATCATAAATATCCTCACTTATTACATTAATCAAAAGCTATAAAATTTTATGATGACAATGCCTGATTTGATTATTATATCCAATCATTATACTGTACTCCCAAATTTTATATTCAAATAATCAATTTAAGAAGAAAACCAAATCTGGTCTTTAGGCACATAGTTTAAAGAACAATCTTTACCTCTGTGCTTCTTTCTGTAGGCGTGCATTCCTTGAATTTCTAATATAATCTCTGTAGTAATCTTGATGTATTTTCCTTTCCAGTTTTTCCAAATCAGTGTATTCATAATCAGGATCCGTATAGTAATGCCTTGGCATCTTTGTGAAAATTGTTCTACAAGATGTACAAGGTGTCATGTTAAAATACATACATACATCACACACACACACACACACACACACACACACACACACATATTTAATCAGTGTATGCAGAGTACCTACTGGTCAAATGTTAAATGGTTAAATGTCAAGTGTGTTGCATTAAATGGTGAGTAGGATAAACTGCACATTGTATGACATACAAAGGCATCATTGCATTACAATGAGGGTGAGGGTAAGGTAAATCTGTGTGTGTGTAAGTGTGGTGTGTGTTACATCTTTTGAAAATTCATTATGATCAGAATGAGAAAAACTAGAAAACACTGAATCTTTTCACTAAACATACTATTGTTAGATTACATACTTTCTAGGTACCCTTTGCATTTTCCCAGAAATCAGGATCATGGAAAAAGCTATATGGCACTAGAAGACACAAAACTGCAAAGAAATCATTCTGTGCTATAACCTAACAGAAACTCCCACATTTAGTAGCAAAACAGGTTTATGATAATACCAAAGTGATTGCCCCAATGCCGAAGCTGAGGCTAGGCTAAGAAAAATCACATGATATGAAACTTGTTCATATGCTGAAAATATCTAAAAGACAGAAACTCTCTTTGTTCTCTGGAACTAAAGGATCTATCTCTCCCATTAAGAAACACAGAGGCTATCTCTTCTAATGGTTTCCCATTTCAAGTCCAGATTTTGGCTGCCAGTGATTAGGAGGCTCTCTCTGCTAAAAAGCATCATTCAGAAGGGTAATTTCCTATCAGCTCCTTTCTAGGAACCTGCTAAGGGAGGGATTGTTTTGTTGTTCTAATAACTATTTCCTTAGACTCTAGAGTTCACTAAGCACAGAAAATTATCTCTGTAGCTTGGAATAAGCACTATTGTTTTCTAATATTTAATATGCAACCAAAATTTGTTATGTTTCTTATTTATTCAAAAACATCTTTCCAGATATAACATGATCATCCAATCACCATTTTAGAGTAGAAATTACCTATTCCTGGTAGTCACAACAATTAATTGAGCAGAACAACATAGTGATAATTTGATCTATAGATATGGTAATGAAGCTGTTCATATATCCTATTAGTAAAAGGAAAAAAAGTACCATAGGACCCTCAGCTGAGACTACAGCCATTACTTCTGTCCTCCTCCAGATGCAAGTAATCTTGGGAAATGCTAGGGGAAGACTGAATGATGTCAGGTATCCATTAGCAAACAAACTTTGAAGTGATGTAGCTATTTTGGGATCATGCACACTTATTGTTAAGTAACCCCGCCACAGTACTCTGAAAATAAGCTCAGTAAACTCACTGATTTGATCACAAATTTGAACTTTGAATGAATTACTTTGTTCTGTTGATAGTGCCCTACCTGGAATAAACTGATATTTATTCAAATCTCTCCAGAAAAAGTTAGCCCAACATTCACCTGTATTTTTGACAATGTTATAAGTACAGGGGATACTGCTATGAATAAAATTCTCCATCTCATTGTCTTCTCAAAAATTGAAAGGGTTAAATACATAAGAGTGAACAAGCAATTGTAATTCTTAACAAAAAATGAATGCACTAAAATAAATTTCTTTAGTTTCTTTTTTTAAACATGTAATTGATAACATTACTAGACTTAGACATGTGAATAACTATTACTGAGAGAAATAAATATAGCTATTAAGTAATAGGAATAGCTAAATATATTGTCTTATAATTTTATGATCTAATAAATCAAAATGTTACTCTGCATAGGAATATAGGTTTATAATAGAGGCAAAAACTACTTCCAGAAACCATCAACTCAGGGTATTGGAGGGGATGTAATGAGTCAGAAGAATACATACAACTGCATTTTCATAATTTATAACTATTTTAAATGTCAGAATGGTTTTTATAATTCTGTTTTTGTGGTACTGGTCAAATACAAAGAAAAGAAAAACAGATGTGAATGGGATTTGTAAATGAAAAATATCAAGAAAGTCAGTAAATGCCATAGAGTTTTTCCATTGTAGGTAATAAAAATTATAGGTGTCTGAAAAATCAAATGGTATAGTAGGGAAGTTGATACAAAATTAAATGACCTTAATGACACCTCCCAAGATAAAGAGACAAGTAGAAAAAGTACAGGGATATTATGAAGTTTAGGTGGTCTACTATTAGCATAAAAGTTGGCATAAAATAACCCTCATTTACTCTTGGATATATTAAAATCTTTCTGGGATAAAGGTCCAGAAAATCATGTATTTGTCAGGTTTAACTTACCACTGGTAAATTAGTAATCTCTTTGAGGTTATGATGAATTCAAATTGACATTTCAACATTTCTTAAGAACTCAAACCTGAGAAGTTTTAGGTCAAGTGGGAAGGAGTTACTAGAAATGTGTCTATGTGGTGATAGAACAAGAATGATGACAACAGTAATTGGTTTATTACAGTTTAAATTGTTTCATTCAGATAAATTCAAACTGGCAATTATACTGAATGAATAAATATAACTAAATAGTCTTGGTCTAATTCCAATCCTAATAGTGATTATTTCCATCATTTATTTATTGGTGCTCTTAATATACTTTAATATTTTGTATGCCATTCATTGCCTCACAAGTACACAGTAGCAGGTATAAAATGTTAGATAAGGCAAACACTGTAACATCATACTCCATAGCTATCATACTCCACATAAAAATGGGAGAACATAATTCCATTCTGACTACTATCACCAGTAGCTTTCTTTCCTTTTTTTAACACCAGGATCTTGTCAGATCTCTGCATATTATCCTGGATATTATATCTTTTGAATTTTAATTTATTAATATTACAAATTACCTGAACTGTTCATGGTGGTCTCCACACCTGATGCTTGCAGCTCTATCATTAGGAAAGGCAATCAGTGCATCCTTCGCTGACACATCATTTGACTGATGAGTATGAAGGTTTGTCATGGCTGACCGCAGCATTGCTGCTACAGGTGGAAGATCTTCCTTTTTCTCTGAATTTTTTATCACAAATTGTCTTGTGGGATTACTGATCAAGGGGGATATACCTTTAATAAAATAAAATATTGAGTTGGTACTTAATACTTTGCATTGTACATTTCCATGAATTAGGCAAGAATTATTTAATACACTCGATAACCGTTATGAGAGTTTGAATAAGAATGGCCCTCATAGGCTCATTGAATTAATTATTTGGCCATTATGGAGTGGTATTGTTGACAGATATTAGAGGTATGGCCTTGGAGTAGGTGTGGCCTTGTTGAAGGAAGTATTTCACTGGGGGGTGAGCTTTAATGTTTTAAATGGTCAAGCCAAACCCAGTCTCTCTCTCTCTCTCTCTCTCTCTCTCTCTCTCTCTCTCTCTCCCCCTCCCCTCCTGCCCCCGCCCCCCCTCCCCCCCTCCTCTCTCTCTCTCTCTCTCTCTCTCTCTCTCTCTCTATCTCTCTCTCTCTGTCTCTCTGTCTGTGTCTCTGTCTCTGTCTCTGCCTGCCAATCCACATGTGGAACTCTCAGCTCCTTCTACATCACTTTGTCTGATGCATGCAATCATGCTTCCTACCATGAATAATAATGATAATAATGGACTAAACTTCTGAAACTTAAAAAAAAAAAAACAGTTAAATGCTTCATTTTTTTTAAAGTTCCCATGGTCATGGCATCTCTTCACAGAAATAGAACACTAGCCAATTGATTTTATCATGCTAAATTCTTAAACACTTTGAGAAAATTCATAACTTAATACAATACATGGGCCTACATAAACTAATTTAGCAAAATAATGCTTAACTGTTAATAAAATGTGTAAATAACGATAAGCATGCTAATGTGAAGATGTAAATTAATTCATATGAGAGCGAAAGGTATTTTTAGACTAAAGATGACTGTAAATCATCAAGTTCACGTGGTACAATTATAAAAAGATTATATATGACTAGATGAAATTGCAGTACCAAGAAAATCTGGATATAGTCAAACTAGTTTACATTCAACTCCAACAAAAATACAGATTTTTAAAGGTAAAACATAGCAAACATTAAAAGATTTGAGCATCTGTATAAAACACCTCAAAACAGCAATACAACATCTACTAGAAAAATGACAGAAATGTAAATCTTTGTTATAGACAGAGAAGTACTTAATAATTAATACTAGAATGTAGGCCCAGTATTTGAACAGGCCTTCTAGGTAACTTTGATAGATGCTTTAAAAAGGGGGAAAGTACTGGTGTTTGCCCTGTTTGATACATATACTCTTATAGTAACAACAACAATCACACCAGAGCTGTGTAAAACTAATACAATAACATACCAGGATTAATTTTCACCCCAACTTTCTTAGTGTAAGCTTTGCAAACGCTGTTGAATTCTAAATTTATATAATGAAAAGGTTTCATCGACAAAGACCGTAAATTTTCATCTGCCACTGGGCCAATAATCTCGATCACTTGCTTCACTTTAAACACTCCAATTTGATGTGGAACAAAGGAACATATCACATTCTAAAGAAAAAGCAAATGTAATCAATATTCTATTGTTAGGAAAAATAAAACAAATCTTAAAATACAGATTATTTTAATTTCAAGCAACATGAAGCACTTTTAGTTAACATCAATGACAAGTAACACTGTGCTCATTATTGGAAATTTAACAAAATTAAGACCATAGCACGATAGTACTGCAACAACAATAGATCAAAAACCTCCAAATCTAGTTTGCACGAAAAGAAATGACAAAATTCACTAAAATTGGCTTTTTCTGTTATTTAGAAATTATGTAAAACTTACAAAAAATCAGTGTATCAGGTATCTTGCTGAATGGCTGAAAACTATCATGGCATTTTGCGTGCTACAGTGTCATTCACCTAAACTCAGTTTTGTGATCCGCAACTATGGTAACTGTAACAACAATGAGCACTAACATCCAAAGAAGAGATAAATGTGGGTTTGAAGAACTCCAGAAATCACATTTCCAGATAATGTACTATTGCTTCTGCCTGGCAACTGAAAAACATTTAAGGCATATTTTTATTTGATGTGATTCTGAGTACCCTCTGTAGTAACAGTCCTCTGTGAGAAAGAGAAGGAGGGAGGGAAAGTGGGAGGGATGGAGGGAGGGAAGGAGGGAGAAAAGTAAGGAAGGAGAGAAGGAGGGAAGGAGAGAGAATTGAATATCACAAGAACTTGTCTTCCTTTGTCATTTAATGTTTAAAGAAACTATTAGAAAATAAACAACCAAATTACTAAGATATCCATACAGTGTGTCCAAAACTCTGACATGGAAAGAGGAAGTAAATTTAAGCAGGTATAAAAAGAAGAAAAAAAAAACAGAGATACTCTTAAGAAAGGGTTATTGGAAGTTGTCAGGTGAGAAGCAGCTGCCTACAACTGACATGTAAAGGGGGAATGTTCTAACCTCTGCTCTAAGTATCTGCTTCTGTAAATGTGATTGACTGCTGACAGGAATTTCCTGTCATAAACATAGTCACATCAGCTCTCTATGGCTTAAGTCACAGAAGACAGTTGACTAAACGCAACAATAATATAATGGTTTAGAAATACTATTGTTAGAAACATAAATGCTATACCTATTTATGATTGCTCAGACCTACTGAGATTTCTCTATAACCTAGCATATAAAAATTATTCTGACTCTCAACTTAAGTCTTTGGTATCTAGGTGAGAGGGGGTAGTGTCCCTGTAACATTTTTGTTTGCTTGCCTAAATAATCTTCATTATGGTACATATACGCAGGTGGTTTTATAATAAGCTATAATCCTTCACCTATGACTGATGAGGAGGAATTTGCAATGTATAAAAGCTGTAAACTACTTTCAGAACTTCAAAGACAGGTCTCAATGACTATATATATAATAATAGTTGGAGTGTTAATAAAAGGAAACTGATACTTAATTACTCTTAGCTCTAGGGATGACCTAAGAGAGTCACTAGATAATGATCAGACCTTGAGATAGGAGGAAAGAACTGTACAATAAATAGGAGACAAATATGACTGGGTTCCTAAAGAACCCACTTCAAACCTAAAAAGCAATTTCATAAGAAATGAGGATAAGAGAGACAGGAAGGAGAGAAAGAGAGCCTGCACAAAAGGGAGTAGGACTTTTGGGTTGGAAAGTTGACATAACAGTTAAGAGCACTAGCTGCTCCTTCCAAACAGGGTTCTATTCCCAGCATCAACAAGGTGACTCACAATCTTCTCTAACTCCAGTTCCACAGAATTTGACACCCTCTTGTAAACGGATGCAGACACCAGACACGTTAGTGGTGCACATATACACGGATGCAAAAACATGCATACACAGAGAATAATAATAATTTTAATTACAATTTAGCAAATAGCGATGTGAGCTACAGAGAAATGCCTTTAGAGAAAATCACCAGGTAAGTATCCAGATAAAGTCCCAGAACAAACAGGACATCAGCCTTTGATAAACTTTAGGGAGAAGCAGGAAATGATTTGGTTCGACATGGCTTTCATGACAAGAAGCATGGAAGTACCCGGTACTGGTTAGGATCAAAACTTAGGATCGGTAAAATCAACAGCAATAAATAAATAAATAAATAAATAAATAAATAAATAAGTATACTTACCTCTCTGTTCCAGGGTGAGATTCAGAGAAATACAGCACAGATCTCTTCAGGATATGGGATCTAGCCTCTTAGAAATGACCACTGAAATGGGCAGACCCATGTTCTAACATAATTGGTTCAAGAAACTTCAGGTAACTAAGGTAACGTAACCTTTGTCCAACCATTTGCTGAACACTAAATTAACTGAGATAGACTTAACTGGCTATACACAACAAAGAAAACTATCAATACAGAACTTGTCTAGAAGGTCACTAAATAATACAACAATAATCAAAGCCACAGTTAACCTTGCAGTGACTTGATTTTCAGCATTTCAAAGAAGGATGATATTTATAATGCCAAATTTTCACTAGAAAATTATTTTGCAACAAAAGAAATAATAAATGTGGCCAACACACAAGAATGTTACATAACAGAAAATGTCTGGGAGGAAATTCAACTGCTACACTTACCATTATAAATATGCTTTAAGAATTGACAAAAGAACTGAAGAAAAAAAGGAAGTATGATAGCAATGCCTCATACAAAAGATAATATCAGGTACTGAAATCATTAACGAAATAAATATTCCAGATAGTAAGGCATTTTAGGATTCACTAAAAAGAGCTCAATAGCAAATATGAACTCATACAAGAAATAATCAATGAACTTGAAGACAACATATTTGAGAATACCCAGAATAACTAAAAGAGATGATTTAAAAATAGGCAAAAGAGAATCTCAAAGTGTTGAGAATATGCAGATGCAGTTCTGAGTGAAAAGAGTATTACTGACATGAGCTTTGTCAAGGACTCCATTTCCTTAAACCCACGGGAATGCCAAATCCTTCCTTGGGAATGGTAAAACACTCCACTGGTCAACCACACCTTTCTCATATAGGAAAAATGCAACCTATAACTGCTCTCCCGTACTACTCCACCAAAAGACCTCCTATGGAGATTAGCTAAATCTACCTTCTCACTAGTAAACAAAAGAATCCACCTCCTAAATTTGGATGTATAAAATAAACATGCTGAGTTTCTGGGATGCTGCTATGGATTCTCCATCAGAGTGCATGGCACACCTGATCCCAGCTTTTTTATATATGTCTGTGTGTATATCATTTGTTCATTCCCTCCGTGGGTAGGTCAGATCAATACCAAATCTGTACAGGTCACATTAATAAACATAGTATCAATTAATGATAAGAGATTCCAAAGAACAGTTGAGAGAGAATAGAGAAAAATATTTTTAAAAATGTAATGAATGAGATTTTTAGAAACTTGATGGAAAACATTAGCTGGAATACCAGCATGGGACTGATCCAGACCCCAGGAACATGGGTTTCAGTGAGGAAACCTCAGAAATCTATGGGACCTCCTGTAGTAGTTCAATACTTATTACTAGCATAGGTGTGTACTTTGGGAGCCCACTCCATATAGAGGAATACTCCCTGAGCCAAGACACACGGGGGTGGGCCTAAGCCCTATCCCAAAGGATACAATAGACTCTGATGAAACCCTATGGAAGGCCTCACCATCCAGGAAGCGCAGAAAGGATATGTGATAGGTAGAGTTTTAGTGGTGGTGGGGTGGTAGGGGAGGACAGGAGGGAGAAGGGAACTGGGATTACCATGTAAAACAATCCTATTTCTAATTCAGATTAAAAAAAATCTGAAGAAAAAAAAGGAAAAAGAAAGAAAACATTGTCTCTCAAAAAAAACTCATGATACATCACAATGATAGACACATCAGATTCAAACTGTCAAAGTCACCAAGCAGTTGCAGCACATACCTTTAATCCTAGCACTGGGAGGCGAGGCAGGTAGTTTTCTGTGAGTTCAAGGCCAGCCTGGTCTACAGAGCAAGCTCCAGGACAGCCAGGGCTATACAGAGAAATTCTGTCTCAAAAAAAAAACAACAGCAAAAAGAAAATCTTGAAATCATTAAGACTGCTGGAGACAGGAAGGCAGTAAGAAATAGATTTTCTTACTCAAAAATATAAGAAACTCAAGTCCTATGACTAGCAAAAACTCCCAGTCAAAATTAAAGTATAAATGACGATCTTTCCAAATAAACATCAAAGGAGAAACTGTATTGCCAGTAAAATTGCTATAGGAAAGTACTAAATGGAATCCTCCCATTGAAACAAAAGGACAGTTGAAATTATATAAGTAGTTTTGATGAATCAATTAAGAACAGAGGTAAAGGAAATCACACACACACACACACAAGGAACTGTATTTTTATTTGCAATGTTTTCTTATTAATTTGGTTTCTAAAGTCTAGAAAAAGGAAAGAAATCAGCCAGAGGGGTCAGAGGACTAGGGAGGGCAATGGGGGAGGGTAATGAATTAGAACAAAGTATTAGAACACACATACACATATATGAAGATGCCATGAGGAAAGCTATTATACCTACTATGTTAACCTAAAACACTAAGAAAAATCAATAAATAAAATATATAACAATGACTATTCAAGAACATTGATAAGCTTCTACAAAAGAAACACAGTTCGCATTACAACAACCTAAATAGAAGACAGGACAGTTGTACTGAAGCAATGTTTTATGCATAGCATTAAAATAAGGCTAGTATTAGTTTTAACTATGCTCTGGTAAGTGATGTTGTTCAATACATCCTCCAAAGAAATCATTAAAATATTAAATATCAAAAACAGAAAAAATGAGGAATCAAAATAATATAATAAGATAGCTGAAAAATAAGAAAAAAGGAAATACAGATCCTACATTATCAGTAGCTTTATTAAATGCAAATGGATTCTTTTAACATTTCTCTCACAAATTAAAGTATAGATGACCAATTTTATTATATATTTATATTATGTAATATATAAATGATTAAATCACACTCATAATTTTTATGCCAATGACATTTTAATAGTTTCTTAGAAATTTTGGATGACATAGCACATTAAGTGTAGTTACCATATTGTACTAACAGATTTCCTTAACTTATTCATTCTGTATCACTGGAACTTTATACCCTTTAACTCAAATCCCATGTTTTTACTGAGGAAATTTCAAGTCTATACATATTTTTCCTGACCAAATCTGCCAGTTTGCATTCCAGATCTAATTGAGATCATTAAAGGGGTCATAAATAGCCTGTCTCTGTACCTAGCTTCTTTTAGCATAATATTACCCAGGCTCATGCATAATTCTGCAAATGGCAGGATTTCCTTATGAAAGCTAAAAGTATTCTATTTCATATACAAATGTGTATGTATTGCTTACTCTTTTGATTATGGAGTAACTAAGGAATGATTGATTTATGGGATGAACCTAAATATCTATCACTAACTGAATAGACAAATATAAATTGACTAAAAGGCACAAATTGGGGCATTCTTCTCATGTAGATCATCACATTTTTGTGAATTCTTTTTCACTTTTGCTTAATAAATATATGGTCATTCTGCTAATAAAAAAAGCACAAATTGGTATTGTCGATAAAAACTAAAAGTTTATACATTTCCTTTGAGAGAAACTTTATGCAAACAAAGCAAATATTAGTTGAAAATGATGGATAGGGAAAAGTCAAAACAAAAACATTTCATGGTAAGCAAACACATTTAAAGTCCCCTTATGAAGAACATGCATACATTATCCTTTACTAAACCAATGAAGGGCAGTAGTCTTTCCATAGGAGTGGAGACAGGTGGAGGGGCAGAGGGCTTGTGAGTTTAATAAGGCAGAAAAGAGAACTTTTGAGATGGAAGAGTCCATTTACATATCTGTTGGAAGATCACAGAATAAGCTAAAAACATCAGGTGAACTGAGAAACTCTGGATAGGAACATTGGTAAACTGATTACATTTGAAAGCAGTTAGAAGCCAGGAAGCTCCTAACAAGGTCAATTTACTCCATTGGTACTTCCAACTCCATTCCATTGGTATTTACAACTTTTGAGATTGCAGAGCAAGAGATTTGAAGATAGAATCATCGACCTCAAAAGTTCCCTGTTCTGCCCTATAAAATACCACCAAGCACTCTGTTGTTCAATCAAATTGAATCCAGTAGAAAGGGTTGACGTAGTACACAAAAGTATTTACTCATTTTGCTTTTAATATCTAAATATCTCAACGAAGGAGATTTCTAAGATTAGAGTGGCAGTCCATGAACAATCTACGGCTAACATCTTATTCATCTGATAGAAGATTGAATGTCTTCCTTTTAGAGCAAGAACGAAATAAAATAGTCTATTTTGCTACTCCTATTTAACATTATGCTACAAGTTCTACGTAGGGATATTAAATAAGAAAAACCTCACAACTCTGGATTGTAAAAGAAATCATAAAATAAATCTATTCTCAGGGACATGATCTTGTATACGAAAGAACCCACTTTAAAATCTGATTGCTTGTAAATGAACTCAAGGAATTTGTGTACTATATAGCAGCGAACAGCCCAAAATGAAACTTAAAACTTAACTGAACTTGCTTACCAATAAGACAAAGACCCTTAAGAATATCTTTTTTAAGAATGACAAGAACTGGGGTACAAGTCTATGGTAAAATAATGGCCAACCACGCAAAATACTCTGTGTTTGAGCTCCAGTACTGTTAAGAGAATATATTTCTTGTCTAAAAGGAACCAGAAAATTGATTCACTGGATACCATAATCACCACTGAAAGAAATTAAAACACACATGAATAAATGGCAAAGTATCTGTCCTCCATAGACTGTGAAGCTTAATGTTGCACAATGGCAATACTCCCTAAAAGGATTTATAATATCAACACAGATGCTATCAAAATAGCAGCTGCCATTTTTTGGTAGAAACTGGAAGGGTAATTTTGGAATCATATCTATTTTTAGGATTCCAAATAAGTCAAAAATATTCCTTAATAAATTTGGAGGCCTTACATGGAGATATGACTATACTAAATGGATTAAAAGAAGAATGAGTAATAGGTAGACAAGATTCCAAACTAAAATGTTTTGCTGCGAAAGACATTATCAAGAAAATGAAAGACCCACCAACGGGGAAAGATATTTCTAATCTATTTATCTGATTGAGGCTTATATCAGAACACATGAAGAACTTGTGTTTCAACAACAAGGAAAAAACATTCAAGAATGCTTGCCTGGTACTATAAACATGGGGAAAACTACATCTAGCTAAGTCATGGTATCAAAGGAAAAGTTTTTGGTGTTTTGCTAAGTGGTCATGATGTCAACTGTTTTTTAAAATATTTATTTATGTTTATAATTATGGGTTTTGCTGCTCTCATGCTTGGTCAGAGAAACTTCTAATTGAAGTACATAGCAGTTCATGCAGAGATGAAGTGCTCAAGGTGCTGAGAATAAGAGACTGTGAGTGTTCATCCACAAATGAGAAAGACAGACACAGGTCTTAGGATTGGACTCGACAAAGGGGAAGGCAGAGAATATTGGAAGGATGAAGCAAGAGGTAGAAAACAATCCAGATGCACTTTATACATTTATGAAATGTATAAAGTATAAAAGTTTAAAAATCAATAACTTACATGAAATAACAGAATGAAATGGCAAAAGCTATGGCAAATTATTAAAATAAAATTCAAGGTTTAACCTCTAATTTCTTGCTTTATACATTTGTAGGACTAGAGTCTGCCACAAATTTTAATGAACTGAAATCTGAGTCACTTGATCTGTTCCTATATTCTGGAACATCTACTGGAGAGTCTGGTTTTTATTTTATTCATTTTTTTTTTTGCTATTTCTAAGTTCTAGAAATGATCTCATTCATTAACTTACACCACCATCATTTCCATTTCTGAAGCCATCAAATGATACTGGCTTCTTTATCTTTTCACATCCCTTTAACATTGATGTTTCTTTTTATACTTCTAAGGATTCTTGTGATCTATTGGGACCACTCAGACAATATTAGCTGATTTACCCATTTTAAGAGCAGCTGGTTTTCAATCTTAATTGTAAGTGACACCTTAATTCTCTTTCTCATAGAACATCATAACACATAAATTAGAGAGATTCAAATAGAAACATTTCCAATGAGCCATCATTCACCTTGTGGGAGATGTAAGTAATTACTTCCCTAAAGAAAATATGTGAATGAAGAATAAAACATAAAATATAACTATAATCATCAGTTATTGGGACAATGAAAATTAAAAGCATATTGGCACACCATTTTTTACCCACTAGGATGATTATAATGATAAAAGAACATTGTCAAGTATGGGAATGGGCAGAAGAAATTGGACTCTTAAATTTACTGCTAGAAGAAACACAAAATCATGCAATCACTTTGGCAAACACTCTTGGGAATAGCTCCAAATGTTAAACACAGCATTTTCAAGATTTAACAATTCCTCTATATGGTGTATTTTGAGAGTCTTAAGTATTTGTCCATACAAAATCAACCATGAATGTTTGTTACATCATTTTAATAGCCCAAATAGGGAAGCATCAAGTTTTAAGCAAGAATTGGCAAACAGACCATAGAACCCCAAGCCCTGACTTGGGTCACAAACATATATAGGGTCCTAAAACAGAATGTGTGTGGAGGACACAAAATTTTGGCAGCAAAAAGCTTTTGAATATTCAAAGACTAAAAATTAAATGAAAGTTAAAGGTATAATTAAACTGAGTTTTGTTTTTTTTTTTTTTGCAGCACTAGTCTGTGTTACAGCACAAACCTTAACCACATCCTTGCTTCTGAATATACAAAATGCACACTTTGCATTTTGTGTGCATCATGTAACATAACAACAATGCATAGTGCCTGAAACACATGGGCTCAGATTTGAAACAGTTGTACGTTTTAAATTGCACTTTTTTGACTGCACCCACATTTTTTTCTATAGCATTATAGAAAATGAGGACTTTTTATATTCTTCTGCTATCATTGCTCAGCATATAAATACTAAATTTGTATATACCTATATACCTAGGATCACATAAAATCAGCTAAGTCAAAAAAATAAGAAGTTGAGTAAAGAATGATCAAAAAGTTATGTTTTCGAGTGCCTAGAAAAAGTGTTGTCAGAGTGGTCAATCATAATTAAAATAACTCCTGAAACATGGGAGATGCCTGGTTCCCACCAAAATGTCTTAGCATCTACAATTTTGTTATTCCCCAACATAACAAGTTACAAACTAGGTAACTATTCCTCTTTCAAAGGTCAATTTTGACTAAATTTGCAAGGTATTGCTCATATGATTGTTCCATAAAAACCTTCCTGGATAGAAATAAAATACTTGTTCTTTGAGTTTGGCTGGTACTACAATATAGATCCTGTTTAACACTCTATAGTCCTCTTAAGCCATACCTGTTTCTGTATGTCTTATAATTCCTTAATAAAACAAAACTGTTTTAGAAGCTACAACTGTATTTCATACTGCACTTGAACATCACACACTTTTACTGATACAATGTAGACCCTTAACAAAGAATTATGGATTCTCTATGACTGGACTGATCACTAATTCTAGACCACATATAAGACATACTTCATAAACACTACGAGATAAAATGTGGTTCTTACTCCTCTGTATAATACTTTGGAAGAAAAAATAGCTTAAGTGCTACGGAAGGAAGGCAAAGAATAAGCTAACTTACCTGAATACATCCTTCATCAATTTTGCCCCTTTCAGGATCCATTTTAAAGTGCGCAGTTTTTTGAAAATGGTATATCACAGGAAGTGATATGGATTGATTTTTTACAATGCATAGAAGATCTGAATGTTCACCCATGAAACAAGGTGGAAATGTAAGTGATTTTCCTGGGTCAAACTGCAAGATGACAGGAAGTCCAGAGCCTGTCAAAGCTAATTCTACTTTCTGAAGTCGATGACCTGTAAAAGCAATAATATTTAATGAACACAATGAGGAGTTTTTAGAGAATCAAAAATATATTTGCTTACCTCACATAGTTATCACTTTAAAAAAAAACATGATGGAAAGTAAGGAGCTCATTCAGTCTTCAGAAAAACCACTGACTACCAGCTTTGTGCTACACAAAATTTTAAATCTTGAGGACACAGCTGTGATTTTTTAAAAAAATTATTCTGAGGGGTTTAGATTCTAGAGATGTAAAACTGACAGTAACTACAATTACAACACTCAAAGAGGGTAAAAGCCACATGTAAAGACAAAGAAGACTGAGCCATAATACAAAGTCATGGGGACAGTGTTTTAGGTAGAGATATTCAAACAGGCCATTTTTTATTTATATGGCATCATTTGGGCAAGCATTCAAAGGAAATGAGATATCCATAAAAAGTGTATTCCAAGCAGAAAGAACAAAGTCAAGTGCTCTAAAGTAGGAACTTGCTTCTCACATTCTAAAAGCTGTGAGGAACCAGATATGGTTGTTTCAAAAGAACTGTACATGGATGGCCAGAAACAGTCAAGTGTAGAGTAAATACTCTTTGCCCATATATTGTGTAGAAGACAGGAAAATCAAGAGATGCTAAATTATGACACTAAATTCTTTCCTGTTTTGTTTGTTCATATATGCTTTAGTACACATGTGAGCAACTGAAAGGATAGGATTGCCATTTCTGGAGATGACCTTCTTATAAAGAAACAAACTGAATTCTTTTGAATTTTTTTAGCTAGCTCTAACTATCAACTTGGGTCATATAGCCTAGGGTTATCCAAAGAATTGTCTAGATTAGACTGGCTAGTGAGCATTTCTGTGGGGTTTCTCTTCATTATTTACAGATGAAGGATGATACAATTCACTGAAGTCAGCATCATCCCTTGGCAGTAGATCTGGGCTGGATAAGAAACCTAGTTTAGCATGAGCCAGTGTCTAGTGGATAATCTAGCAGATAGATCATTCAATATATTTACATTCTTTATGTAAAGATTAAAGAGGAAAACATGAAGAATTGAATTAATGGTGTAGCATGGAGATTGTTAAAATCTGAATGAATTACAAAATTCAGCAAAATAATAAAACAACCTACTGTGATGAGAGAATAATATGAAAGTGAAAGAGATTAGTATTTCCTCTTCAATCATTATGGGAAATAGGCCAAAGATTATTTAGCCATGTACAAGAATGATTATTAAATCATACATGGTGGAATAGTACAGACTGGGGAAGTATTAAAATTTAGGATTTGAGACATTAGGGATAAGACAGGAACTATGGACTATGTGAAAGAACCAAGATTCCTCCATCTTGTCCCTGCTGCAGCCATGAAAAGTCTGACTCAGAGCTGATCCCCTGTTTACAGCCTCTCCTATGGGAATGTCCCTTAGAAAATTATCTAACACTGTCTCAGAGACTTGAGGTCAAGATGCCCAAGCTAACTGACAATTTTTTGCTTCGGTCAAACGCCTGGCTTTCTCTACTTGCCCCTGCAACTGCCAATCAGGATGTAGTTTTGCCTTTAAACCATCCCTATAAAAAACAGACAGGGCAGCTCTGTGCGAACTTTCTCTCTAGGCAGTCTCAAGCCAGATTAATAGACTCTCAATTTAGACTCTGGTTTTATAGAGTGGTCCTTGGGGTCTTTAACCCACAACATAGTGTACTCTCTACTTGGATGATAGGACCAGTTTTATGAAGAGAAACATAACGAGAACCCAAGAAAAGAGTATGTTTTTCTTACTGGTGTTCTCACTGGCCAAGTCTAGGCTGTAAAACAGCTGTAAGATAAATTTGGAAGCTGCATTGCTCTTTGTTTCCCCAGATCCAGTACCCCAGTCTCTGCAACAGAGCACCCTTTGCAGCCTACCCTGCCCCTCTGCTCCCACCTCCTGTGGATTACAGATCTTCCCCTTCCACCCCACTTCCCTCTACTTGTTGCTTTTTCCCAGCCCCCAACTCCAGAAGACATCCCCTACTAACCAACCAGCCATGCCAAAAAACCAGGTAGACCTTCTCTTCTCTCTCTGTTCCCCAGATCCAATCCTCCAGGCTCATCCCAAGCTCTGCAGCAGAATGCCTGTGGCCCTTTTCCTTTCCCCTGCCCCCATCTCCTGTGCATCCTGTAGATCTTCCCCTTCTGACTTTCCTATTCACTTGTTGCTTTATCCTAAATCTCAACCAGAGCAGGCACTCCCTGCTAAGCCAAGGGCTACTCTTTCCAGAGCAACACATAAGCTGAATGCAGACCCATGTGTCCCCTACTGCTCCTGAGATCCGACTCCTCCAGTCTCATACCTAGCTTTGTAAGGAGAAAGACACTTCCATCTCCCTTTCCTGACACCATCCCCAAGGGATCACAAAGATGTTCTCTTCCAACATTTCTTCCTCCAACTCATCTCTGTCATGAAGGGGTCGGAATGTGCCTCTACCTTAGACATGGAACAATCCCTCATTGTAAATAATGATCTAAGCCTGAGTTCAGGAAGTCCCCCAGCCATGTTTGGCCAATCAGCTAAATAGCTTCAAACCTAGCCTTATAAGGCAGAGAGATCCAAAGTTACAAGATATGACCATACATGACTAAAAGGCCCACAATGGATAAGACTGCTACTAGCCCCATCCAATAAACTTGTGCCCCATATAACTGCTCCCCAACTGCCCCAATAAAACAGAGAAACTTAGAATTCCCTAAGTCTCCTTTAAAAGGGCCTTCATGCCTTTGTCCCAGATCATCGTCACCATTTTGAGTGGATGATCGACCTTGCATGCTGGCTTTTCCTACAATATAAAGGCTCTTCATATTTGCATATTATTTGAGTCTGGAGTCTCCCCTCAGCAATTCTTGGACCCTTACAGTAACCCAGCTTCCAACACCAGCAGGCATGTATTGGGAACACACCAGCTGAGCTAGACAGAAAAATAAGCAACACAAAGTCATCACACTCTCTTAAAATCCAGAGCCAAAACAGAAAACAAGGCACAGAACACCCACCAAGTAAACACAAATCCAGAAGTCAGCAGTTAAACCTATAATCATCCTAAAACAATAGGCCTAGCTGCCAGCTAAAAAGCACAATCTGTAACACTCAGGGCATATGTCTCCACCTATCACACCACTGCAGGCTCTGAAGATTCCAATGTAGCTGAAACACAATAAAAAGTCTTTAAAACCAACTAAATGAAGATGATAGAGGTCCTTAAAGACGAAATGAATAAATCCCTTAAAGAAATCCAGGAAAACACAAACAATGGGAGGAAGTGAATAAGTCCCTTAAAGATCTACAAGAAACACAAACAGATGAGGGAAATTATTAAAACTGTCAAATAACTGAAAATGAAAATAGAGAAATTAAAGAAAGCCCAATGAGGGAATTCTGAAAATGAAAAATTTAGGAATTTGAACAGGAACTACAGAGGCCAGCTTCACCAACAGAATACAAGAGATAACACTTAAGATATGACAGAAAAAAATGGATATATTAGTTAAAGAAAATGTTAATCTGAAAATTTCTGACATAAAGCATCCAAGAAATCTAGGACACTGAAAAAAATGTAAGAATAATGATTATAGAAGAAAAGGAAGAAACCCAGATTAAATGCCCAGAAAAAGTTCTCAACAAAATCATAGAAGAAAATTTTCCTAATGTAAAGAAGGAGATGTCTATAAAGATCCAAGAAGCATACAAAACACCAAACAGATTGCACTGGAAAAGAAAGTCCCCTTACCACATAACAATCAAAAGAATAAATATACAAAAGAAAGACTATTAAAAGCATCAAGGGAAAAAGACCAAGTAACATAAATTTAAGACTATTATAATTATATCTACCATCTAAATGGATATTATAGTAGCCAGAAGGGCCTGGACAGATTTGCTGCAGACTTTCTGACAGTGGTTCTCAACTTTCCTAATGCTGCAAGCCTTTAATACAGTTCCTCATGATGTGGTGATCCCCCAAAATAAAACTGTTTTCATTGCTATTTCATAACTGCAATTTGGCTACTGTTATAAATATAATGTAAATATCATGTTTTCTTATGGTATAAGGTAACCCTGTGAAATGGTCATTGAGTACCCAAAGGGTTGTAACCCACAGGCTGAAAACCACTACTCTGAGAGACCACAGATGCCAGCCCAGATTACTATACCCTGTTTTGGATATGAGTTTAAGACGTGTTATATTCATTTATACTGCAGAATATTTGTTTAATGATCCAAGATGCGTTGTATTCTTTTATGTTTCACTGTAAAGCTGTGTATTACTTTGTCTACCTAAAACAACTGATTGACCTAATAAAGAGCTGATCAGACAACAGCTAGGAGAGACAAATAAGTGAGGCAGAGAAAATAAACAGAAGGAGAAATCTAGGTTCAAAAAAGAGGGGGGATGTAGCAAAAATGGAGAATGAGAGGAGGATACCAGTGAGCAGCCAGCTATCCACACATCTAGCCATGGAGTAAGAAGGAAAGATACATAGAATAAAGAAAAGTAAAAAGCCCAGAGGCCCAATAGCACAGACACTATGATTAACAATAAATAAATGTGACCTCATGAAACTGAAAAGTTTCTATAAGGCAAAGTATACCATTAATCAGACAAAGCAGCAGCCCTACAAAATGGGAAAAGATTTTTATCAACTCCACATTCAATAGAGGATTAATATCCAAAATATATAAAAACTCAAGAAACTAGATATCAAAAGAACAAGTAATCCACTTTTTAAAATGTGGTACAGGTCTAAACAGTGAATTCCCAACAGAGGAATCTCTGAGAAGCACTTTAAGAAACATTAAATGTGCTTAGCCATCAGGGAAATTGTCATTCAAAACTACTTTGAGATTCCAACTTCAATGCCACAGACAGTATATTAATGCCATGAAAGTATTTGCATTTTTGTTCAATGTAAAAATTATGCAGTTTACATTTTTTTCTGTAGATTTTGATGCTAATTATTTTATTTTTGTTTGAAAATGTCACACATGCCTATAATGAACATCAAATTCAACTCTCATTTACTCCCCTCCAATTCCTCCTTAGTCCCTCACATGTGCTTGCTACCTTTTTTCTCTTATAGAAATTTCTCTTATAGAATTTGAACTGATACACATTTAATGATCTGTTCATTTCATACTTACTTTTCATGGTATTAGAGTTATCATCTCTCAAAAATCCATCTTTACTTCCCACAGAATCAAATCTCACAAACAGTGCATAGTCTTGCCTATGTGAAGGCCCAATGTCCTTTTTAATATCAACTACCAGCCTGTAAATATCAAACTTAGTTATTTTTAAAGCAATGGGCACATATATTTTTTACTTGCAAATATACATTATTGACCTAATGCTTAAATCAATGCAAGGAGATGGAAAGAAATAAAAACACAACTGTTACTCATTTTCCAAATTTACTAACAAAAGATCTCAGAGCATAAAGCTCAGGAGAACAAAACTGATTTAATACAAATATTTCTAAGACAAGACTAAAGTATCCCAACTTGCCAAAACTTACATCACATGCCACCGTGTCTAAAATGTATTTTTCTTCTAGACAGAATTCATTGTTAGCTAAGGACTCTAACCAGTATCTATAGTAATCCATATTTCCCCTAGTACTAACTTGTTACATATTTATTTCCTCTATTGAACTAAACTCATATTTAACACCACACAAGTTCCTGGTAGTGAACAAGTAAATAGAGAACATAATTTGATGTGAGGCATTTATTCTTAGAGAAATGTAATGGAAGGATGAAAACAAAAGAGAGAATCAGGAACAAAGATATAGAAAGGTAATGCCACAGGCCTGGTCACTGACTATATTATCTAGCTTAATTAAAGACTAGGTCTTCTGCCACTTGATATTCAAATACACAGAAAGCTGATTTGATGTGCAATATTAAATTGGAACATATATGGTAGGTTAAAAGACATATTTAAGAAAGACTTCAAATATTCACACCTAAATTTCCATATTAGACTCCAAAATAAAGTTCAAATGCTGTCATAGGAAACAATGTTTGGATCTCTTTCAGAGTACATACGGGTGCAGGAGGCTGGAGAGATGGCTCAACCGTTAAGAGGACCCACGCTTGGTTCCCAGCACCCACATCAGGTGACTCACAACAACCACCTATACACTTCGATACACATATGTACACATAAAATAAAATAATAATTTTTATGTGTTGACTATAATCTTATTTGTTTCCCAAAGAAAGTTTCTGTACAAAAATATCATTAAGACAATTTTAATTATATGATTAATGCAATTATTTGTTGGCTTTCTGCCTTAGTTTTGTTTCTATTGGCATGATAAAGCAACGAAGAAAGGAAAGGTTAATTTTAGTTCACAATTCCAGGGCAAATTCCAAGAAAATCAAGTCAAAAATGTAAAGCATTTTTAAATGTAAATGTAATCGCATCACAGTCTAGTACTCAGTAAGCTTTTTTTATTCTTATACAACATAAGATCCTAAAACAGAGAATGGTGCCACCCATTTTCAGAATGGGTCTTACCTCATCAGTTAAGGCATTCTCCTATATACATGAACATAGGCCAGCCTAATGTAGATAATCAATCATTGATTGAGATTCCCAGGTCATTCTAGGTTCTATCAAGTGGATAATTAAAGCTAACCATCATATCCTCTTGAATTTAAATGCAACTCAGCCTTCAAAAATCTCTTATCACTAAGTGGCAATGTTGTCATGGAAGTACACTAAACAAGACCCTCTCAAGGAAGTAAATTCTTACAGCTGTGTAAGTTATTTGCAAACAAACAGACTTAAGATATTATTGCATGGTTTCCCATATATTTAACAGTTTCAAAAGTATTTTCAGCCTAAATAACAAAAGCAAGTAGAAAGAAATGTAAAAATATACACTGCATGTATTTTATCAAATGGTGTGAGTTAACAGAAGCAGGTGCTGTTGGTTTAACATTAATGGTATTCAGTCAGAAAGGATTTGTCCATGTAAGAACATCACTTCCTAGCTGATGGAATCTATAAAACACTATATGCACATCACTATTCTTGCAGCAAGTTCTGGGCTGCACACATTAACTTATGCAGTCTAAAACAACCTAAAACTTTACGTCCCCACCCATTTCCAATATAGGATATTTTTTAATTAAAAAAACTACTGGATATCATATTTATGAATATTGCAAATCTTAAACATGCTAGAAATATTTAGAAATGCATTTAGAAAAATCTGTTTTTTGCTTTCTAACATGTTTTACTATGAAATTAAATAAGTCTAGTTAGTATATAGTTACTATAATTTTCATTAATAATTGACATTACAATTTAATTCACTTTTACTTACTTTGGGCTGAAGCAAAATGTAATTACAATCTTTTGGTAAGGGAGTAAAGTTCCTTCATTGGGAACACAGGAGATAAAATCAGTCATATCTATTTTCTTTATTTTGTTTAAGTAGGGGAGATTGTTTAAGGCAATATCTGTCCTTTGATGAATATTTGTTCCCTGTAACATAAAACAAGACAAAAAAGTATATTAAAGAAAAGAGAACACATATTTTAAAAGGCTGAAATAATTATTGCAATTTTAGAACTTAGAAAGTGAAGAGTATTTGTCTCTAAATTAACATATACCTAAATTTGACTAAGGCACATGATACAATTCAAATTTGAGAACAGAAATCTTCAGAGTAAGTCACTGATTTATACGAACCACTCATCTGGTTTAATTTAGACACAATGTACCACTTAACGTTCAATTCACTTACCAGTTCTTCTCCAACACAATCATCTTGCATTATTGCAACCCAATTTATGGTTTCAGGGCTATTGTTAAACAGAACTGCTTGCTCAATTTTTGATGTTCCAAAGAAAACAGAACCAAATCGTATACATTCCAACTTCCTGTCACTATTCATGTTAAACAATTCGATTATCTGTTCAACCACATGAACTTTGATGTTCAAGAATGTATCAGGACGACCTTGCAAACTCACTCTGTAAGATAAAATATGCATACATGTAAGTATTTTCATTACATACTTACATATTTGTATTTATTTTCCTCTGGCGATTTGGATAAAGTTCTTAAAAAAAATCATATCTAACTCAGCAGACTAAGATCAGCTCCTTTCATATACTGCTGGAGGTTATCAGGATCTTTGGTTTGTCTACATCTTTAAAGTGAAATATATGTGTAACCTAACTTAGTCTGTACTCAAAACAATAATATTGGGGGAAAAACTAAAGATGTGATTCCAGAGAGCACCAATGGAACATTCATTTTACTACCTCATAAATACAGGAGTTAAATGATTTATAACCTTAGGTCAAGAATTTCAAGACTCCATTCTAACTCATTGGCACCCAGGCCCAACCCAATCTCTCAGCCACATCTACATCCAAATACCACAGTTCCCCAAATCAAAAATATCTCAGAAAAAATTCAGACTAATTTCCATTCTCATTTAGCACTCCTGTTACATGTTTATTCCTTTCTGGCACAAATGTAATCCCTTCCACTTAACCCAAATTGATATCACAAATAACTGGCTATCATCAAAACACTTATTTACATTTTTCTATAATTGTGTGTATTATCCATACCATATCTCAACATATCTGTCCTTCCTCAGATTCCTGAACATCACACCCTTCCCTTGGTTTTCACTGTAACTCACTCATGCATGCTCTAACTTTTCATCCTGTTTGTCACAGATCCTCCACAAACTGTTTCTTCTCTCTTATTGTTTTATATCCCCTCTTCTTTCCAGTGCAATTCTCAGTACTCAGATGTTTTACACACCACCTATACCCCCAATATCCTTACCCAACTCATCCAGACAAAGCTGCTTTCTGGGGCTTAAAACATGTAAATCTAGTAAGCCATAACCATACACTCCATGATGTTTCTGAAAATAAAAACAGTCCTACCAAGCCACATCAGAACTTTCTTCTACAGATTCTTTCTTGGTCTTAGCTCCTTTGTTCATTAACTCCTCAAATGAATTAAGCAAGCTTGTATAGTATATCTCAAATCTGAGCTCTTCTCTCAGTTCTCCCAATTGGGGCCTTAGCTCTGCCCTTTCCTATTTCTTTTTGGCTTTGCTTTTACAATATCTAGTCTGATTCTCAAGTCTTTCCTGCACTGCCTGATCTATTTCATTCACTGTTGTTACTGTGACTTTCTAAGATGCAAACTGATCCACAGATTAATTTTCAGGCTCACAACAGTTTCTCAAAAATTACACCTGTAGCCTTCAATAAGAAATACATCTCATATGCAATTTAGTAGCTCACACACAAATATGAAGAAAAGATCTATGAAAATTCAAAATGTTTTATAAAATATCATCTATATTACTATGTGAGGTGCACTAATATTTTTTATTTTATTATTTTATGTACAAGTGGTGACTCAGTGTATTAACTGCATACCACATGTATGAACTCAGGAAAAAATCTCATAAAAAATGTTGCCCCATAGACCCTTTACTGGATCATGTGTCAGTCCTTTGTTTTAGTCTCACCTTTGCATTACTCGCTTGTATTTCTTCAACTCTATGTTGCCTCTGATCCTTCAATAGGGAATACAGTTATCTCTAAAGTTTAAAATCTGCCACTTTCTTTGCCTGAAATAATTTACGTAATTCAATCTATCATCAACATTCATTTTGCCACCCCCACACACACACACCAATCATATCACTTCTATTTGCTACCTAGATCCTATTTAATGATGTATATGTGAATCACCTACCAATTTATCACTAGACTCCTTGGACCATTCAGACAATTCTGTCAGAGCCACAAAACTGAAACTAGGAGCTGCTGTTCTGTGTATCTATACGTGCTCTCCATTTACTTTCCATTGTTGAGCACTACCTACCCTTGTATGTCTTGACACACAGCAATAACTAAATGAACAAATAGCAAATGAAAGAAAAAGGGGCTGGGAAACAAAGAAGCAATCACTCTGAAACAAGAAAAAAGGAAGATATTGAGTTCTACACAAACATTTTTTCAAAATTCATACTCTATATTTACCTTGCCTCTTCATTTACAAATTGGGACTGGTCTGCACAGAAATCCACTTTGATGACCATTGATGACTTAGCTTTCACAGTACCACTACTTGGAGAAATGACAATAGGTAACTGACCCTGGTATTCTGTTTTAAATGTACCTAAAGAGAATAAGAGACACAGTTTATAACTAAACCTTTACAACAGACACGCATTATACAGATGGTCGACTGTGGAACAAAACTAATAACTTTTATTCTGATTTTAGATACTGGTATCACCCAGCAAATCTGAACCCGGTGTTAGAATTCAACCATCATCAGTAGTTAAAAACTATTATATGATCATTTTTAGAAAGTACTTATACTAAGAACACTATATATCTACATATATGCTCTTCAATCCTTGTTATAAGCTATATGTTCAACTACTTATTTCCATTTTGCAAATAAGAAATCAGACACTTAGATATCTTGATCTCTAAAGTATAAGTATACAATGGATGCTTGAGAAAAATAAATTATTTGCCCAAGTTTTTCCAATTAGTAAATGAAGCAATTAAGTGTGAAACATGGCCAAATTTGCACCCAAAAAGGTAGTTTTCTTGTGGTGCTTCAGTGTTGTTCTTTACGAAAAATATTTACCCATGTCTACAGATTTATATTTTGTTTCACTGAAAAAATACACTAACTATTCCATTAGAATTAAATCTGCATTTTAATTCAGAGAGCTTTCATATGTATTACAACTACAATTTGATATTTTAAACTAAAATGGATGTTACTTTTTTAATCCCTAAAGGATTGTGAATGAAGAAGTTAAGACAGAATTTGGAGAACAAAATAAAATAAAAATCTTTTAATCATATACAGTTACTCTGAAATATTAGTAGTCTTCAAAATCAAAGAACCTTAACCACTTGCCTTAAGAGACTCTATTCTTCACATTAAAATTAAACTGAAAATGAACCAAATATTCTATAAACCCCAAGCAATGAATATTGACCCATGGAAGGACCAAATCACTGAAAGATAAATGAACAAAATTCAATCGAGAATTGCTATGAGTTTGATTCTTGTATATTTTATGAAGAAACATATATTGAGATTGATTGTCTCTGTGTTAATATTTTCGAATGTTCAAGCAAGCAGCTAAAAAACAAGAATCTAGTGGTAAAAAGCATTGGATTTATGATTTCATTATATATTCGACATGCAGTCTCAGAGAGATAGTCACTATCTAGTATCAGTCTTCATATTAGATTGGGAGAAATGGAAGTCTTGCAACCAATATAGCATCACATCAAAAGAATGACAGATTATATCCATTGTTGCAATCAATAAAATTGTGCATGACAATAGTTTATGAAAACATCTGGGCAAAAAAAAATTCTAAAAGTAATCCAGTCTGGAGAAAAGTGTTCTTCCAGTGATGAATAATAAATTATTAAAAGCCTTCTATAGATCATGATGAAAATGCCAAGTTGACTATGACAAAGAGAAGAAATATTTCATGCCCACGATGAAACAGGTATAATATCAAAATTTTATGCATATACTTAATTAACCATCATATACTACTCTCTTCATAAATTAAGATTCTAAAGTTCAATGTGCTTAAAGACACTTGTCTAATATGATATAGCTAGTAAGTGAGTAAGGCACTGAGGTCTAGTTCAGTCTGGATGAGTCTAAGAACAATATTACTTCCACAGCACCAACCTGCCTCCCATCTTCAGGAAGATTGCCAGTCATATAACAGGCTGTGTTAATATGGATTACAACAAGCAAGTTCATTGTTCCTGAATGATTGCATATCTATCCTTCGTAGTCACAACACTTAAGGGCCTTTGGTCTTCAAATGTTTCAAACGATAGACATCATGTCTTGACAAATGGGAAAATCTATTATACAATATGCAATTTAAAATAATAGCAAATATTCTAAATTTGTGAGCTTATTATGACACACAACATTTACCTGGAGCTTTGCCATGGTTAATAATACTAATCTCTTTACAATGCACTTTACTATTGGCAACTAATGTGCCAAAATCAACTACTGGCACAATTTCCAGTTGACAGGTTGGAATCAGCCTAAGAGAGAAAAGAAGCACACATTATGTTTAACAATAATAACATCTTCATAGTTATGTCCATGGAGGATACACACACACACACACACACACACACACACACACACACACTTTATACACATTTTAACTCCTCAAAAGACATTTCAGTTTATTTGCAAGTCTATTGATAACACTGTTGTCAATAAGAGGAGTTATGAAATAACAAGACAACTATAATGCAACCTTTTAAACCAGGAAATCAGACTTTATCATATAAGTATGATTTGACAGACTACTCATTTATCTCAGTTTAGTGTTACTCTAACATACATGAAATTCCTTTTGAGAATTTACAAGTAAGTCCATTAAATATTTTGAAACTTATTAAAAAGGAGGAACTGAATTTAATACTTTAAATGACATAAAATATGATACATGAAAAAAACGCTGATACTATAACAGAACATTTGGGGAGTACTATAGTTACTTTCTGTTGCTATGCTAAAACGCTGACCAAAAAAACAGTTTAGGGAACAAAGTGTTTATTTAGCTTAAATATCCAGACCCCAGTTTATTGCTCAGTGCAGCAGGGTAGGAGTTCAAGCAAGAGCAGAGGCAGGAAGTACACAGGCAGTACTTACAGGTTTGCTCCCTGTGGCTTGCTTAGCTTAAATACCCCAGGACCATCTGTCCAAGAAAGGTACTGCCCACAGTGGACTACGGCCTTCCACACCAACAATTAATCAAAATGCCTCCACAGATTTGACTATAGGATAATAAAGAGATAATAAGAACCTCAGTCGAAGTTCTCTCTTCCTGGGGGACTCTAACTTGTATCAAGATGACCAAAACTAACAAGCAAAGCACAGTGTATAAAACACAATTTGTGCACCAAAAAGAAATTTGATTCTCTACATGAGTCTATACTTTAATGTGTTCACTGCAGCATATATGTAGTGTGTATTTTCAGACATCTTTCCAAAATTCATTGACACATAGGAACAAATCTCATGGCATACTTGTTTCTTATTTAGATTGTAAGCTCTACTTTACAGAATGCTGTTAAGTGTATTAGTACAGTTTAATAATGACACAATTGGCACAATTACATACCCGACCAGAGGAATATCTAGTACTTTATTTCCTACAGAAATAAACATGTGATCAAACATGTCTTCATTTTTATCAGGATGATATTCCACCATTGCTGTCATTTGAAGGCCAGAAGCAAGTTCCTTATCCAGACTGGTCAACAACAGTTTGAACTTAAGTAGAAAAAAGGTAAAATCAGCACTATTAGTTTATAAGGAAAAACTATGAGCAACTGTAGTTAGGGAGTATGCATCATTATCAAGGATAAGTCTTATTCTCACCGAAGAGAAAAATGTTTTTAAACTTTAAACTGATAAACAACAAATGTACACAGTTATGGGATATGATGATTAGGCCTGTATTAAAATGTCCTTTTTAGTTCCTAGTCCTATGAGAGTAGAGATATGTCTATTCCTCAGTAGATTCCCAACGAAATATGACACCAAACTTCCCGCTAATATCTCAATTAGTAATCCCTGAAATAATCAGGAACATTACTTTTCAAAGGGCAATTAACAATAACACCGCAAAAAATTGGTCTCCTAAGATTTTTAAGAAAACTTCAGAATCATGAAGGCATGGTGCAAGAAACTGGAATTCTTACAAGTAGATGGTAACCATCGTTGTATGCATAATGCATCATAAATATGTAATTTTCTGTTAACTAAAATGAAAACAGGAATAAGTTCTTCCCTCTTTCCAAACACGATTATGGAGAAACATATTCTCTATCAGCTTTGCCCTAATCATATCCCCTACTTCAAGCAAAGGGTTCTTTCTCCACGCCTTTCCTCTCTCCCTCCTTTCCTTTCTCTCCCTCTTTTCATCTCTCTCAACTTTCTTTTCTACCTACCTTCCTCTCTCCCACTCTTCTTTCTCCTTCCCTCTCCCTCCCTTCCCCCTCACTCCCATCAGCCTCCCGTTCACTGTTCACTCAATTCCTTGCTCTTCCTCCCTCTTTCCTTCCCTTACTCCCTCCTCTCCTCTTCTTTCTCCCTCTCTTCTTCCCTCTCTCTCCCTTTCAGTTCCTCTTTCCGTCTCTAACCTTCTCCTCCACTCCTTCCTGTCTCTTTCATTCCTTCCCTTTTCCCTCTTCCTCCCCTTCATGCATTAGTTTCTCCTCCCTCCCTCCCCCTCTCCCAACCCCCTCTCTTCTCCCCTAATTTGTTATCTTCCCCCGTCCTGTGACTACACCTCAGCAAATGCAATCATTCCCCGAATTCCTTAGGAGCCTATATTTTGGTCTTTGTGTCACCTGTGGCTTCACGGGCTCTTGAAACCTCATCTTCTGGTTCCAGCGGCCCAAATTGTGTACAGTAAGAGGGAGTCGGTACACTTTCCCAGATACTGCATCCAGGAACTTCAGCTCCGACGGGATTACCCTCAGTTGAACTTCCTTTTTGGGATTATCCACATCCCGAGGGCCGAGTGAGCCCCGCTCTGTCTCCATCGCGGCCTCTAGACAGCCGGTAGCCAGGCTCAGACTTGACCAACTCCCCACTGGCTGGGGACAACAGATGTAGCTAGGAGACAAGCACTAGGAAACCATTATTAGAACTCCGCGTGAGCACTGGCCCGCCCCCTTCGTTCTTGTCCCAGCATTCCTCACCAGGTGCAGGCCCAGCCCTGACCACGCCCCACAAACATTGGCTTGGCGTTCTACCCTCACCGCCCCCTCCCTGTCCCGGCACTGAGGCTAGTGCCTGCCAAGTAGCACTGTCCTCAAAGACACTGCCCAAGGCCTTGAGATGGCTACTGGAACAGCATGTTTCTGTAGAAACAGAGAACTGGTTGGCAAGTGTCAACAAAATAATTGGAAAATACTTTATGTCAGCCTCAAATCTAAAAGCAGCTGCTGTTGACATAGCCAGGGTTTCAAAGTGACACTTGATGTAGTGGGCTCTTTCCTGGATCCTGCTTCAGAGCAAGCTTAGTGAAAATGATATTCTTCAGGGCCTATTAAGGAAACCAGATGTGACCAAAATTAAGTATTTTAATAAGGGGAACAGCGTCAGTGGCCTTTAGGCCACCATTTCTGTGTTTTCTATTAATACCAAACTATTGGGAGCCCGGTAGTAGAGGCACAGAGCGTGGGAGGCAGAGGCAGGCAGATCTCTCTTGAGTTCGAGACCAGCCTGGTCTATAATAGCTAGTTCCAGGACAGGTTCCAAAGCTACACAGAGAAACCGTGTCTCAAAAAATCCAACCCCCCCAAAAATATTTGATTATTATAAAAACATAAAAATGTGTCAATAGAAATAACTAAGTAAGCTATGTTGTGCAATAAATTTCTTGTGACTTTAATAAAAATACATTTTTTTTATTTCTATTTTCCCCAATACTAGGGAACAAACCCAATGTCTTGAGCATGCAAGCACCCTACTACTGAACTACACCCTCAACCCCTATGCCAATAAATTGAAAAGAAATGAAATACCCACACATAATATAAAAGCAATCCTGTGGTTTATTATTGCATACAGATTCTAGTTCGGCATGTCTGAAGCACTTTCTAAGAACATGCACTTCCAAGTTCACACTGGTTTCTAATGTTGGTGGTCAAGGGACTGTCCCCTGATTGTAAAGGCTTTAGAATTTCTTTAGCTATCTGAAAATTAACTTTTATAGTTATTGCTTAAGGTACACCAATGAAGCATCTGCATTGTTAGATGAAGACTTTTCACACAAGCACAAAATTACTTTGCTCTGTCTTCCTCTTGTTCTTTTCATTTGCTAATATGACAGCTAAAGAATTCCCTTTAACACCTTATACCTTTTAAAAATCTGCCCCCTGACCACTTTGCAAGACTGTTACAGTACCAACATCATAAGAGTTTATTTACCAAAAAGATGGAGACATTAATAAGTAGCTCTAGATATAAAGTTAACTTGTCAGTTTATTGGAATTGTTGTTGACAGTTGAAACAAGATTGGAAGGGATTGGTTATTATTTGCAAATCTTTAGGAAATGATAAAATATCTTCTGAAAAATCTGTCTTTAGTTTACAAGTTGGAGATTTGAATTACCTTTGAATATTTTTAGTGCACAGTACAAAGCCTGTCTAGATCCCTGTGCCCAAGCCAAATTTGCTATGTACCCCTGAAAGGCTCAGAGTTTGGGTGAATACAAATCAGAGTTCCTGTACAAACCACTACACAAACCCTAAAACAATTGGAAACAACAATTTCCTTTGACACACATTCAAAAAAAAGACTGAAGTCTAAACTGTGTAACATCTCTTTTGACATTATTTTTTAACTAAGGAAGTGTGAAACTCAGAAATGTATGCAGTAAGGTGTAACACCAGGGAGAAAACAACGGTTAGAGCATCTACTCATGCATTTGCTTTGTGCAGATATCTGTTAAGATCTGTGATACACATACATACATATACATGACCCCAGGGAGATTGAGTTGATAGGATGCTTTATGTGCTTGTGCTGAGAAATAATTTTGACAAATTTAGACAACTGGGGTTTCTTGGAGTAAGAAGAGGAGATATTAAAATAAATTAGTTTTAATCACATAGAAACAAAAAAGTATTAATTACTTAGAAAGTGGAAAGATGTTCATAAAAATAACAATAAGAACTTATTTCCTTTGTCAGCGAATATTATTTACTGAGTAACTCTCACCTAAACACAGAATGTTGATCCAAGTAAAAGCATTGCATGACTACATTGTTAGGTTGTAAAATGGGACTATATAGCTGATGATGAGCTGGTTGATGAGGAAATACCTGATTGTTACCTTTTCAAGTGAACAAACATAAAAACATCAGATTCTGATGAGGTTATAAAGTAACAAGATAATTTTTAGATTTCTTCCTTGTCTGTAGTCCTGTCGATTGAAAATAACTGCTCTTACATGCCAGATAGTTACTGTATATCATAGTCCTAGTTTTACTTGTAAAAAATATTGAGATAGTGTCTCACTAATTATCCCAGGTTTTAGTTCAAGCAAGTCATGCCTCAGCCTCCCAAACATTGTTGTTTTTTACGCCTGAATCACCATACTCTATTCACATTTAGTAAGAATTTAAATTTTGTCAACTACTCTGGAAAAGAGTTTTGAAAATGTTTGTTAAGGTAATCACATAATCAGCATGCAATTCACAAGTTGCATTCATGGTCATTCTTTTTAAAGCAACGCAAACATTTGCACGAAAATCTTAAGAAATCTTAAGTACTGCAAATATGAATTTTATTCTCAATAATGAAATCATGAAACAATCCAGTGCAAATCACTCAGCCATGAATAAATAATCTGTAATACATCCATGCTTAAAATTCTACTCCACAATGAGAATAAATGATAGATGTTAAAGTTCTGTTGACTCTCTGGGTATTATGAAGAATGAAGCTGTAACAGGCTCCAAAACCTTGGTAGGTCCAGAGATCTTAACACAACTGATGCCACGATGGAAGTACCATTCAGACTGTAAAATTCAGCACATATACAGTACCACCAGCCAAAACTAAACCAAAGGCATAATCCATCAAAATCCATAGTTCTAGGAAAGTCCTTTGGCTTCTGTAGTTCTGTTTCTGGTTAACTGTTCTTGTTAACTGAAGTCCATCAACCTAGGACATGTTGTTTGTTCTTAAAACTCGCCCTGAGAAAGGATTGGGGCTACAATGGGCTACTGAACACCCAGTATACTCACCCACTGGCTAATAGAGACTTCTATTGGCTTAAACCCATGTGCTAGCAGTCTTCTCTGGTGAATACCCTGCAACATTTCTTGAGGCCCCACCAAGATCCCAGAGACCCGATCTTGAGACACGTGTGTTTGGGTTTATGGCAGGAGGAGTGTTCAGCACAACCTGAGATGTTCTAGGTATTTGACTAATCCTTGCCTAACACTTCAGACGGGTCTGATACCTCCACCCCAAAAGGTAATGAATTAGAAATTGACCTCTGGAGTAAGTCTGGTTAAGGGACATTCTGTTTGGATACATTTGACACAACTGCTGATCTATGTGAGATGTCACTGGACTCCCTCTGTCTGTTCAAGTATATAGATATGTTGTGTCGTCACCTGGTTGTCTTCGTGTGTGTGTGTGTGTGTATGTGTGGGTGTGTGGATGTGTGTGGGTGGGCTATGTGTTTCTGTCAGTTTTGTTTCCCTGTGTGTTTCTCTGATATGAGACCTCTGCCCCACCCCCACCCCCACCCCAATTAAGACCTCTGTCCCCTCCTATTAGGGACCTGAATCCTTTTGACTCTGCCAGAGACACCAAAAGCACTTCCACTTGTTCCAGTCCAGGAGTTCTTCCTTAATTGGTTGCTTGACCTAGGCTCACAATCACAGGATTGTCCCAGTGTGGAGGTGGGAAGGGGCAGGGTCCCCTGCCATCTAATCAGAATGCATAATGCCCCCAGGTGAGCATTCCTTCTGCTCTGCCTGTTCTGAGCAGCTGGGAAGGTTAAATGTTCCCCCAGGGGTGGGCCCAAAGGATAAGAGAAAATTACACTCCCTTCTCTTTTGTTTTGATGTCTCCTTTTCAAACTTTCATCTGTAAAATGCACCATGGCATGGGAAAAAAGTAGAAAAACTGCCCCTGATCAGGGCAGGAGGAATCCCTGCCAGGCAACACAGCCTGAACAGAGCGGATTTTCCCTTCTGTCCAACACTGACTATCTTAGAGATTTTTTAGAAATATTAAAGGCAGCTGCAAAAAAGATACCCTTTGCCACATGTGTGGCCCATGAAGAAGAAGAAGAGGAAGAAGAAGAAGAAGAAGAAGAAGAAGAAGAAGAAGAAGAAGAAGAAGAAGAAGAAGAAGAAGAAGAAGAAGAAGAAGAAGAAGAAGAAGAAGAAGAAGAAGAAGAAGAAGAAGAAGAAGAAGAAGAAGAAGAAGAAGAAGGTGGTTAGAAAAGTTAGAAAAATTTAAAGGTATAAGTAGATTTCAGTTGCTAGAGGCAGCTTAAAAGGTGTTTAACAACAGAGAACTGATTGGGACAAGACCTTTTACATGAACTGAAAGCCACTGTCACCTTGTCTTATGATGAGATACAGACTTACAGATACACAGAAAAATTTTGGTGTCTTACCCTCTTTGAGAAAAAAAATCTCCCAGTTGAAAGTTCTCCCTCTAATCAAAAGGTGGTTGGACTATCTCTCAGATGGACAATAAAGACTCTTGGAGGTATTGGTAGAAACCAACCTCTCAGGACTGGCCCAACACCAAACTTCTGTCGTTGTTCAACTAACCAGTTCACCTCTGTCCATCCAGATTAAGAAATACCCAGTGACCCTGAAAAAACAAGGGAAAATTGTAGTCCATATTGCCTGTCTTGAAGAGAAAAGCATCCTGGTGCCCTGCCAGTCACTCTGGAATACAGCTCTCTTACCTGTGAAGAAACCTGGGACCTCTGATTCTCATGAGTCTGATTCTTCCAGAGAAACAGATGCACTCTGTCTTGGACCTCAAAGATGCATTCTT